ATGGAGGGGAACGGCCTTGCCCCCAATGCGACGAGTATCTTTGGTTTGTAACTGCTGTTTTAGTCAAAGATTTACAGGGAAACAAATCAAAGCGACCCAGATTCAAAGTTCCTTGTTTTGTGACAAACCCAACTGAGAGTCGTCCGAAAGGTCCTTGTATTGAGCTATGAAAGGGAAGACCTTTTGGTCTTGGCGTTGACCTCCGCGAAAGTTCCGCGAAGGGGGTCGCGAAAGTTATTCTTTTATTCGCGAAAGTTTTGTGTAAGGGTGGCTTGCTAACAGGAAGCTGGAGTGATGAACCATGTGTATTCACCGGCAGTGCGGGCAGAATGCCCGCAGACCAAAGTTGGCCAGGGAATGCGGCTGCAAAAGCAACCCCCAGCCAGCAGAAACCGGCTTGTGGGAGCTTTGAAGCTTTCGGGTCAAGTTGAGTGCAACTTCCAGCCGGAATTTCGCGAATGTTTGGCGTAAGATCCGCGAAAGTTTCGCGAAAGTCGACGGACCTCCCCGCCAGTTTCCAGACATGAGGCCAACGGGTCCTCTGAGCTGGAGCTGCGGAAACGCGCTTCGCGTGCTACTTTGGAACTGAAAGGTTGCGACTTTCGAGCTGGGGCTGCGGAAGCTTACTTTGTGTACTACTTTTGTATTAGAAAGCTTTGACTTTCGAGGCTGCGGAAGTTTAGTTCATGTACTACTTTCGTATTGAAGAGTTGCGCGACATTCAAGCCGGGCTGCGGAAGTTTACTTTGCTACTTTCGTATTGAAAAGCTGCGGCTTTCGAGCTGGGGCTGCGAGAGTGTACTTCGTGTATTACTTTTGTGATGAATGTTCTGAAAACAGCCCCGCAAAAGTTCCGCGATGGGGTCCGCGAAAGTCTTTTTTTCTCGCGAAGATGGCGGTTTGCGGAACAAGGAATGTCAGATAACTGTCAACTGTTGTTCTCGGGTAAACCAGCCTCCTGAGTTCTTCCAAACCCACCTCGAAGGAAGCGAGATGAAAGTGGCGCAGAGCTGACCAGGTCATTGCCTGTCGAAGTGTACTTGTGGACACGGGTTGTTTCTGGGGGGCTTCTCCAAACCTCGTTCAGGTTTTTGGTGGACCAAAAAAAGTGAGATGATAAACGAAGTCTGAAGGTGTAACGTTTTCTATGTACTCCATAATATTCGGGCCAAGGCTTGACGATGCCAGCTTGCGCCAATGTTCATTACGGGAAGTTGATCAATGAAAGTGATCGCGCAAAGTGCAGGGGCATTTATGGAACTTATGCTGGAAGAAAATGGTGTGTTTATGACCATGTACTGCAATGCGTCGCCGTCCAGTTTGTTCCATTGATGGCAACCAACGCTTGACTGTCCGATACATGATACATGTCAACAAGCCGCATAAGGCTTGGGAGGGCTTTGGGAAAGCTCACTACATCTTTCCACAAAGACTCTAATTTTGGATAGGCCCTAATGTCATCATGTCCGGGGCGAACAAACAAGTTTGACCATCGTTCTGTTTGCGCTTTTTGTTCTGGTCTGATGTTTGGGTGTGTATCAAAAGCAGGGTGATCAACACAGCCGAGTGCGGCCAGGCTGTGGCAAGTGCCAGGAGTGGCGTGGAGGTTCGACGCATCGCCAACGGGAAGTGCGACAAAGAGATGCAAAGATCTTGGGTATGGCTGTGGACAAGTGGGTGCTGAGGCATTTTGGACAGAGTAGTCATAAGGACTTGCTTTGACATATCAGAAAGATCCGCCTATTTGGCGAGCGAGTCCACAGATTCTGGGGGGCAATCCGTTCCCCCAATAGTGAATCCTCCCCCCCCTGCCCATCAATATATTGGCCTGGGAACGCACAATATTTTACTACCAGGTACATTTGTGCCCCGGGGGTATCACTCCACTCCTTGGGTCAGACGTGGCTTTGCTGGGAGAAGGTAGAAAAGGGCTACAAACTTCCAAGGGAGGAAACAGGATGCATGTTGAATTCTGGTCGAGTGCATTGCCGGTTGGCTACCTTGCTGGTTTGAGCATGTCCCCAAATACGGCAGCAGCTGGGGTTAGGGTTGGCGGGAATCGGAGAGAATTGGTTTGGTATTGCTTGTACCTGTTTAGTATTGGGAGATTTGGGTGATATCTATTGATATGGTGCATTGATCAGTAGGGGGAAGGCTTGAAAACGAGCGAACACTCTGATGTAGGTTTTTTACTTGGCAATCCAATAGAATCGTGGCAAACACAGTGCAGAAAGATCAAGATGTACCCATGGACCCGGAATTCCTACAAAATGTCCCTTTTGGTGGATTGAACATCACTTTTTGGACCAACTTCAAGTGATTTTCCTTTTGGGGTGATGCTTAAAGGGAAAATGTCTTGGAACCCAGCAGTTTTTGGTTCCTGAACTGTGTCCCTTGTTGAGTGGTTTGAACGGCAAAGGGGGTCCACGTTTGGGAAGCCCCCCCCTACATGAAGGGCCCATGTTGCAAGGGACATCAGGATGAGTTCGCCGTCAAGGCAAAAAGTTTCGTGCCTCTTTTGTAGGCCCATTTCCCACCTTCAAAGCGGTTGGTGAACAGAAATCCCGGACAATGATGTATTTAAGTGCGGATCCCCCTCAAGCTTTAGCATAAAAATATATATTATGTACATTGTATGTTTGGGGCTGTTTGGGGCACGTGCCCAGGAGTTATCATGTTCATGTCCTGGGCTTGCCCTTGGTGGCCCTGTTTCCTGGTGTCCCCTTTCGCTGAAAACACCCAAAAGACCCCAATGAAGTCGCACTCGTAGTCTCCGCGCAAGCATTGCACTATGCAAGGGAACCCCACGATATAGTTCTGCATTGATCAACCCGTATTTCCCTTTGTGGTGTTTTTAAGCATCACCTTTTTGGCCAATTTGATGTGAGATTCCTTGTGATGTTATGGGGCCTACTCCGATTTCTGAACCATGCTGCTTTACAGTGACTCTACAGGTACCAGATCGGTGAGAAGACCGTGCAGGTGAGGGTGACCAATGATCAGGTCCGGCTACTTGGGCGGGAGTCTCAAACGTCCAATCCATTGCCAGAGTTCACTCACCGCAAGGCCGGCTTGTTTCGGTTTTCTTCCATTGTCCCCTTTTAACCAGAAAGTTGACTTGTTCCATCCAAAGGTTAGTGTCGGTTTCGTTTTGAAGGTCCAGTTTTTGTTTGTTTCAGGAACTGAGGTTGTCTTTGTTGGTCTTTCTCGTTTCGCATTGAAGAAAACTAACAGAGGGTTCCTCGAAGACACCCCAAGCAAAGGTTTCCTATGGTGGACACTTGGCTATTGTACAACCACTTTCTTTGGGCATTGTGTGTGTTGGGTTTGAGTTTGCAGGTGTTCATTGGCCCGCTCGGGGGGGGGGGGGAGGTCCGGGAGGAGGCCGAGAAAGATGCCAGGGACATGGCGAGTTCGGGGAAAGAGCCCTGGCATTTCCAGCCTATACGGTCCGATCGCCTGGCCATGTGATGACTAGAGCTGCCCATAGAAGTGGCACGTTCTAGACCTAGACCTCCAGCACCGAACAAGGAGCCGTCTTTCCCCATTGCCACTGAAGGTGCGGGGCAGATGCTCATTCCACAACAGCTCCGCATGCAAAGAGCCACTTGCAACAGCTTGCTGATTCATCCTTGACGCACTGCCAGCAAACCTGTAGCTCGCACAACCCAAGACTATGGTGCGAGTGCGCAGCATCGAGCTTCTTCCTCAGGATGTGTGTCCATAGGGTCAACATTCAAGTAGCCGTTTTTTTGCGGTCTTCCAATGTCGGCCTCCCTCTAAGCCCCTTTTTGGCTCCAAATGCCCAGCTCAGGCACCCTTCCAAAAACCATTTGTGAGGAAAGAGTATTTGAACTTGCCTTGGGTGAGTTGAACATCACATTTTGGGACCTAAAATTAAACAAAAACTCGGGGTTCGTTCTATATTTTCCCGTTCGCTGGGGGTTTTACCTTTGGCTCACGATTCAGTTTCGCTTCGATGGGTCACGCAGGGAACGTGGGGTTGATCCGCATCACTTCTCTCTCCAGGTGCTTGTGCAAGGCGCCGGTGCGGCCTTCACCCCCATCGCGCGAGCCCCAGCCCAACTTGCCAGAGAATGCTACGTTGTTGCAATGCGATTACAGACCTTTCCGCAGTTGCACAGGCAAAAAAGGCAGGTGACGACTCGGGTTGGCTTATTCCAAGGGGATGGATCGCGGGGATGAAAGCCACATCGTTGCCTGGACGCTCGTCTCAGTGCTTCGCTCCATGTCAGGCGTTTTGACACCTGAACATTTCAAAAAGGAGAGACCAAACTGCTGAGGAATTGAAAAGCACAGGGCGCAGCATCTGCATTTCACATACACCATCAGACTTCGACAAGTGATTATGTTCATGATTTTGGGTGGACCCCTTTAAGGGCCAATCTGTGGACTGCACTCAGATAAGTTTGATGTAAATAGGATATGGACCCCCAAAAAGGTTGGTTTTCCTCGTGGATTTCCTTTAAACCAGCCGCCAAAAGTGCGTCACTAAGTGGGAAATGCCTGGCCGGTCGCAGGCCAAGTTTGTCAGCACGTTGCCTTCAGGCGTGGGCAGAGAGAGAGAGAGAGAGTCCACTTGGAAGAAGTAGACGTTGGAAGACCTGCCCAGTTGAAGTTGCGCCGCGCGGCCATGTGTTGAATCTAGGGTGTCCGAACATTGGGCATGCGCTTTGAAGTGAAACTGAAGCCCAAAGGTACACTTTCAATCTGAGAGAGAGGCTCAACTCTTCGGTGGTTTTGTGTTTTTCTCAGGAACGACATAGCAAAACCCGAAAATCAAAAACCTTGCATGGCCATGTCTGAAACATTGGAGAACGATATAGTGAAACCCCCAAAACGATAACTTTCTGCTCGAAGTCGCCCAAAGTAGTCGTAGTTTTTGCCGCTCGCTCAAATGCCTTCTGCCACATGGAGCTGGTTTAGAGAGATGACAACTGGAAACTGTTCGCCCAACCATGTTTGCTGGGAGGGTGGACATGGGTGTGTTGTGTGTGTGTGGTGTGTGTGTGTGTGCAGCTGGTACCCTTCTCCAGCTGCAGGGAAATCAACAGGAAACGCCGATTTCGAGTTCCAATTTGGATTTGCAGCTGGGCTCGAACTTTGAAGTGTACGTCGCTCATTTAAATCATGTTTGCCTCCTGAGCCACTTAAGGAGAACAGTCAGACATATTAAACATAATACGCATGCTGGAATGCATACTAGGTCTACCTAGGCATTTCCTTCCATTTCCATTGAAGATGCAACACACATGTGAAAAGAGGTGGCATGTGCTGCGTTGTTCACTCAAGACTTGTTTACCCAGGCTTTTTTGCTTCCCACCAGTGTGGTTCATGGCATCTTTGAGGTAGGGTTCCGGACGGTTCCGCTGGGTCCTGACTGGGCATTTTCTCTGTTTAAGGGTTTGCACTCCAGATTTGAACAGCCACCTTTAGAAGATTTGGTCACTCAAGGTGTGTTTCGACTCGTTTTCTCGTTTGCGGGTTCCTCACTTCCATGAAGCCAGCTAGAAGTGCCAGGCTCCAGGAGCGGCAGCGCTACCCCGCGAGGCTCGAATGCCCATCCGGAGGATTTTGGTTCACTTTCTGTTCCAAACAAGGTCGGTTCAGGTGCAGCGACAAGGCTGGGATTTGGAGTGCTTGCGACATGGGTCAAGTGGTTTGACTCGCCACTGTGCATGTCGAAAGTCTCCAGGGTCGGCGTGTAATTACAAGCACCAGAATTAGCTAAGTATGCTTCCAGGGACTCAGTGTTATTTGTCAAACACAAGATGCTTAGTTTAACCCACCTCAAGAGGGAAGGCAGACAATTATTGGGGAGCTTGAAGGCACTCTGATATACACACGTTTAGTCTCCGGCTCATTCCGCCGACATTCCGAAAGAATCGCGCATTCTTGTTGTGCTAAAGCCCATCCACCCAGACTCGCAACTCACACAAAACCCGCCGAACACCCCGTCACAAAATCGCCGCCCGGTACGCGTCCAGCCCTGTAGGCGCACCCTCCCTTGTGGCGGAGGGGGAAGCTTCCAACCACGCCAAACAGAAGTCGGCGAATTCGGGGGTCCAATTCCCTTGTGACATGCCCCAATGGTTCAGGACCCGGCCCACTTTCGGGCCAGGCGGCAGCGGTGCGCAGACGCCGCAGAACACGACGCCGCGGAACCTGACACCCAACGCCTCCAGGAGCTCGCGTCGCGCATCTCCCTTTTGTCGGTTTCGAAAACAACTTGGTGGTGGGAAGGGAACCGAGGAGCTTAGGGTCTCCAAATTGTCCTTGAAAGAGGGAGCTAAAGAGCAGGAGTGAACCAACGACATGGTGGACGAGTCCAGGTGGGTGGATACCCCTCAAGCCTCCGGAACCCAACGGCAACAGCTCCAAAGGACTTCTTGATTCTTGCAGGGAAAAGTTGCACCAAAAGCCCTCAAAGACAAGTTCATTGTTTTCCCCTTTAGTTCACAAGTCAACAACTGGTATGTTTGGAAGCAAACTGGGGGGGTAGAAATCTCACACGGGTAGAAATCTCACACCCAAAGAACATCGCCAGGAAAAGTGAAATCACCAACCAAACAATGTTCTTCTCAACGGCTGAAAGCTTATGGCTTAGGGGGTCTCCGCCAAGATAAGCTCCCCGGAAAGGTTTGGAGGAAGGTTGCCGAAGAGGTTGGATGGACTGCTCTTATCAATGTGGATTTGGCTCTCACCGTGACGCAGAGCGAACAGATGGGAGATTGCATAGCCAGAGCTGCAACAAGAATAGCTTTTATGTTACAGAGGCAGAAAATGCACCGTGCTCCAAAAAAGCGCCAGATCATGTTCTCACTCCATTTTGATGAGGCATTCCAAAAGACCCAGGGAGTTTCTGCGGCCGGTTGCTTCCTTCCCCAAACAGTGTGTCTACACTAAGGGGTTCTCACGGTAAGAGAAAAGGCCTTGGTGCCAGATTGAGGTGCCCCCTCTGGCCGCGAGCGTTTTGCGTGGTATTTACCGCAGATTCGTGCTCTTGCTTGATGTCGAAGTGCGTTTTGACTGCGCAGGCTCGCACAAAGTGAGTTGGCGACTTCTGGCCGCGAGCGTTTTGCGTGGTATTTACCGCAGATTCGTGCTCTTGCTTGATGTCGAAGTGCGTTTTGACTGCGCAGGCTCGCACAAAGTGAGTTGGCGACTTCTGGCCGCGAGCGTTTTGCGTGGTATTTACCGCAGATTCGTGCTTTTGCTTGATGTTGAAATGCGTTTCGATTGCGCAGGCTCGCACAAAGTGAGTTGGCGACTTCTGTCCGCGAGCGTTTCGCGTGGTATTTACCGCAGATTCTTGCTCTTGCTTGATGTTGAAGTGCGTTTCGACTGCGCAGGGCTCGATTTTTTTGCTTTTTTGGCGGCTCCGGGGACCGTGGGGGTTTTGTCTCGTGGTCCGGCGGCACGGGTTTCCGGCGAAAGGTCCCGGGCTCGATTCCCGCCCTGTCCGCGCGAGCTTGTTTCCCTTTCTTTGGGCATGCTTGGATGGTGCTTCTGTGCTGCGACGGCGTCTCGATGGTACTCTGAACAACAACACCCAAAAACAGCAACAGCAACAGCAACAGCAACAGCGCCACAATCGAGAACAAAGGAAGAAGCTACCTAGCTAGCTAACTCACTAACTCTGGTGAAACAAACACACAGATCTTGCCTTTTGTAGTGATGCTTACACACACACACACACACACGCACACGCACACGCACACGCACACGCACGCACGCACGCACGCACGCACGCACGCACGCACGCACGCACACGCACACGCACGCACGCACGCACGCACGCACGCACGCACGCACGCACGCACACGCACGCACGCACGCACGCACGCACGCACGCACGCACGCACGCACGCACGCACGCACGCACGCACGCACGCACGCACGCACGCACGCACACACGCACACACGACCTTGGCGCTGGCTTCGACACGTGTCTGCTGCATTCTCTTGCGCGTGTCTGTTCCAGGCCGTGTCCTTGTCTTTGTGAATGTGCGCGCAAATACCGCAAAATGATGTTGCAGCTTCCTGACAACAACCGCCGTTTTGCGGCGCAGCCCGCACAATACTCTGCAGCGTGTGACCGCCGCCTATCACTGTTTGGGGCCTGGTGCCGGGGTAATTTTGTTTACGTATTTGTTGGTCGTTGGCAGCAAGCATTTGCATTGGAAAGCCTAGGTGACCCAGGTCAAGGAAGCTCTTGCAACAAGGTTAGGAAATGGATGCCTCAAAATGAGGGCATCCCGCATCCAAAAAAGCATCAAAAAACAAAAGCAGCTCAAGCGCCAGGAGTTTGCTCCCCGTCGCCAAGGCCGACGCCAAGGCAACACCTAAGCCCAGCAGCCCCAAGGCGCCGAGCAGCCCCAAGGCGCCGGGCAGACCTCTGCTGCCGAGCCCCAAGCCGACGGCGAAGTCGCCCCCCAGCCCCAAGGCGAACCAAACGCCGCGTGCGCTGACGCCGCCCAAAGCGGCGCCCAAGGTGGCCACGCCGAAGGCGGTCACGCCCAAGGCAGGAACCGTTTGCAAAATGTGCTCAAACCAGCCGGTGGTTTCTTTAAAGCGTTTAAAGTTTAAAGCCACGAGGTTGGTTAAGCAGCAGTTAAAATTTGCTGAAAGTTGGCTCCCTGCAAGGTGGCCACGCCCAAAGCTGCCTCGCCCAAGGCGGCGTTGACCCCGAAGGGCGCGCCGTTGACCCCGAAGGGCGCGCCGCCCTCGAGTCCCAGAGGCGCCTTGGCGGCGGCCAAACCGCCTGCCAGTCCCAGAAGCGCACTGGCAAAGGCATTGGATGCCAAGGCCAAAGGCGGGGATCTGGGATCTGGGGATCTGGGATTTGGACCGAGCACTTTGGGCACCTTGTGGAGTTCCAAAAGGAAATGAAGAAACGTCTAGCAAAACAAGTCTTCCGATTCCTGTTCCCCTACTATTTCATGGCTTCCTTGTAGGGTTCATGGTCTGCCTTCTGGGAACAAATGGCTGGTCCATTAATCCTACGAAAGGTCGACCTTCTACTCGGGGGGCTAGCAGCAGAGATTCCTTGCCAGGTGCGTCGCCGAGCGCCGTCCCCAAGGCAGGGCAAAGGCGTTCGCGCTTCACATGTATAGATGTTTACAAGTCTGCGTTTGTGTGATGCTGGGCATTGTTTCTGTTTATTTGAGGCTGTGTGTCAACCCACCATGCTTTAGAGGATCATTTGTTCAAATTCATACACATGCCTGAGGTGTGCTGGATGTTGTTGTTTTGTTGCAAATGTCATGGAAGGCACGCAGGACCTTCTTGTTAGGCTTTCCTTTTGAAAACTGGGCCCTCTTGTACATCTGCGGCACCTCACGCCCTTTACTTGCGGATTCCTTATTATTCAGGTCTTGGGATATTTTTTAACATTTGAATCAAAGACATTGGACCCTATCAGTAGCTGAACAAAATTTGAATACACCACCACTAAGCTTAGTAGATGGATATGTGTTGTCACAGCGGATGCTGTTTTGACAGGAGGTGTTTGGCAAGTGGGACTGGCACGGGGGGCGTTTGGCTCCTTGTTTCTGTGTGCTGCAGCTTTTGTGCATGTTGGTCTTATGAATGGAACTGGACAAAGCCTTTGCTTCGGCATGGCATGGTCTCGGTACTTGTCCGAAGATGTTTCATTCTTTAACATATGTGTGACCCAGTGCAATTGCCACGGTTGATTTTTAGCAACACAACGGCCCCACTCGTATAGGCATGTGGTTGATTTGTTGTTCCTGTTCTGGCATTGTGTGTGTGTGTGTGTGTGTGTTTGTTTTTGTTTTCTTAGCAGGGGTCTGGGGTCTGAAAGCAAACAACTTGCGCTTGCTATCGAATAGGTTTGTTTCAGCATGCCGACCCCACCCCCAAACAAAAACAAATGAACAAGAATAACACGCACGCACGCACCCAAACCACATATTCAAAATGCGTGCTGTTCCCTTTGCATTCCCTGTACTGTAAACAATCCTTTTTTCGGGCGCCATCCGAAAACAGATGCCGCCCGGTAGCTTCAGGTGCGGCGCTGAGATGCATTGAGGCGCAGGGTGGTGTCCCAACTCAGGCTCAAGGTTGATCCCTCGGGATGATTGCCTACGTTCTGAGTTTCATTTGCTTCGTGGGTCGTATCTTGTCCTGATTTCAAAGGGAAGCTATCACTGCAAGTTTAGCTCCAGAGGACTTAAGCAAAGGGAGGCTGAGTTCTTGCGCTTGCCACTTTAGGATGTGGACGTTTTTGGGGTGAACAAACAGCTTGGACGTGCTGGTTCCATCCACTCAAGCAGTGAGCCTGAGAATGCAACACAAGTGAGACACCAAGAGGTGATTTCAGGTCGGTTCGCCAACCGGGTTGGGCCAACCCGGAAATGACCAAGCAAAGAGCACCTGGAGGGATCTGTTCACGGGTTTTTCTTTGGACATGTGGTGATTGATTCTGTTGGGAAGCTGGAACGTCCAAACCTGTCAAGTTGGCTGGCTTTTGGGGGACCGTCGAAGAACAAGAATCAGCCGGAGCTTGCTGCGTGGTAAAACAGAAGTACAGAAGTACTGCAACCAATGCAATAAGGATGAGGTTCTGGAGAACTTTAAACCCAAATCAAATCATGAGTAAAGTAAGGAGTAATTGGTTCACCCCTGATATTGCACCCACAATAATTTGTGGAACCTTTCAATAACTGTTTCGGTTGACTCGTGAAACGGGGTCCACTATGTTTACGGCCAAAATACAAACCCTGACCTCTTGCTAAGTTTGCCCGGGTTTGCACGGAGGTACCCCACAAACCATTTAGGGATACTTCAAAGGGTTTCGGGTATAGGCAACTTTAAAGCCATATTAAGTCATGTTCATAGAATAACATCTATTTGTTTAGTCCATTTGTATTATATAAAATTTAAGTGCAGCGACGCGTGAGACCAGCGCCTGCGGTTCAGGAGCCTGAGAGCAAGTGGCGCGCCAAAGGGTAATTGCACCTTGCAGACATATGGAGCATGTAATGCTCAGTTTTTGAGTTCCAGGGCTTCAAGCTATTTGGGAACCACTTTTGTTCGGTCAATCCACTCAGGAAGTGAGAATGGGAATCCAGCATCAAGAACCCCTGGTTGATTCATACGGGGGAGCGCCCCGTTATTCTAAACCTGTAATTACTTTTCCCGGAAGCATTGCGAAGGGTTCTTCTTCTAAAAGCGGCTGCCAACTTCACCTGCCAACTTCTCATGCCAACTTGTCGAGAGTTACTTCACCTGCCAACTTCTCATGCCAACTTGTCGAGAGTGCCTACTTCTCATGTCCTTTTTGAGAGTTACTTCACCTGCCAACTTCTCATGTCAACTTTTCGGCTGTTATCTCATTCTACTAAAAGCACAAGCTAATTTGTCGGGTGTTACTTCACTATCCTAAAAACACAAGCTAACTTTTCTGTTCTACCTTCACATCTCGACTCTTAATTCTTCTTCTTTTTATGGCGGGGGTAGGCCCGACGGGAGCTTACGAAACGCACCCCTCTGCGGAGATCGTGCGTGTCGAAGCGCTCTCGCTGTGGCGCCGTGCGAATTTGTCTTGAGCCCGATGAACCCTCTGCGGAGATCGTGCGTGTCGAAGCGCTCTCGCTGTGGCGCCGTGCGAATTTGTCTTGAGCGCGGCGAACCCTCTGCGGAGATCGTGCGTGTCGAAGCGCTCTCGCTGTGGCGCCGTGCGAATTTGTCTTGAGCCCGCGAACCCTCTGCGGGGATCGTGCGTGTCGAAGCGCTCTCGCTGTGGCGCCGCGCGAATCTGTCTTGGTCGCGGCGAACCCTCTGCGGAGATCGTGCGTGTCGAAGCGCTCTCGCTGTGGCGCCGTGCGAATTTGTCTTGACCTTGGCGAACCCTCTGCGGAGATCCTGCGTGTCGAAGCGCTCTCGCTGTGGCGCCGTGCGAATTTGTCTTGAGCCCGATGAACCCTCTGCGGGGATCGTGCGTGTCGGATCGCTCTCGCTGTGGCGCCGTGCGCATCTGTCTTGAGCCCGATGAACCCTCTGCGGAGATCGTGCGTGTCGAAGCGCTCTCGCTGTGGCGCCGTGCGATTTTCTTGCTCGCGAAACGGCTTTTGGAAGTTGTCTCGTGGTGTGCGCGCCTGCTTTCGCAATCCCGCGGTCCCGGGTTCGATTCCCCCCTGGTCCGCGGCAGCTCCGGCTTGAAAATCGCAGCTTTTAAGTACAAACGTAGTACGCGGAGCGTGCTCCTGCAGCTCCGGCTGGAAAATCGCAACTTTTAAGTACAGACGTAGTACGCGGAGGCTGCTGCAGCTCCGGCTGGAAAATCGCACTTTTTAAGTACAGACGTAGTACGCGGAGCGTGCTCCCGCAGCTCCGGCTGGAAAATCGCAACTTTTAGATACAAATGGCTGGAAAATCGCAACTGTAAATTGCAAATGTAGCACGCGGAGCGCCTCCGCCGCTCCAGCTTTTTGAGGGTTAATTACTTCACCTGCCAGTTTCTCATGCCGAAACTTCGAGAATTACTTCACCTGCCAGCTTCTCATGCCACCTTTTCGAGAGTTACTTCACCTGCCAACTTCTCGTGCCAACTTTTCGAGGAGTTACTTCACCTGCGAGCTTATCATGCCAACTTTTCGAGAGTTACTACACCTGCGAGCTTCTCATGCCAACTTTTCGAGAATTACTTTACCTGCCAACTTCTCATGCCAACTTTTCGAGAAATACTTTACCTGCCAACCTCTCGTGGCAACTTCACCTGCCAACTTTTCGAGAATTACTTCACCTGCCAACTTCTCATGCCAACTTTTCGAGAAATACTTTATCTGCCAACCTCTCGTGGCAACTTTTCGAAAAATTACTTCACCTGCCAGCTTCTCATGCCAACTTTTCGAGAGGTACTTCACCTGCCAACATCGCCTGCCAACTTTTCGAGAGTTACTTCGCCTGCCAACTTCTCGCGCCAACTTTTCGAGAATTACTTCGCCTGCCAACTTCTCATGCTAACTTTTCGAAAGTTACTTCACCTGCCGGCTTCTCACGCCAACTTTTCGAGAGTTACTTCACGCGCCATCTTCTCGTGCCAACTTTTCGAGAATTACTTCACCTGCCAGCTTCTCACGCCAACTTTTCGAGAGTTACTTCACCTGCCAACTTCTCATGCCAACTCTTTGAGAGTTATTTCACCTGCCAACTTCTCATGCCAACTTTTCTCTTGAGTTACTTCGCCTGCCAACTTCTCATGTCAACTTTGCGAGAATTACTTCACCCGCCAACTTTGCCAGCCAACTATTCGAGAGTTACTTAACCTGCCAGCTTCTCATGCCAACTTTTTGAGAATTGCTTCGCCTGCCAACTCCTCATGCTAACTTTGCGAGAGTTACCTCACCTGCATCAACTTGCCTCTATGCTTCCGGGCCACTCGTCGTCTAGTTTTTTGTCTGGGGGGGGGGGAGCAGGTTCTTCTTAAATCCGGGGTCGACATGCGGTTTTTGCGAGGAACTCGAGTTAACATCGGCCAGTGGCCAAGCTTCTCAAGCAAGTCACAAGGCCAAGCCTCTCGCGCGACTCGCGCGACTCGCGCGACTCGCGCGACTCGCGACTGGCAGCCAATGGGCTGAGTTAACGCACCCATGGCATGGCTCGGGCCGTTTGCACGTCTTGAGCCAGCTATTTTTACAAAGCACCGCCAGTTAAGCTCCCTTTCAAGAGGGGCCTAAAAAGGTCTAGTGGGGGTCCAATATAAGCCCCTGGGAGATTCCATTGGGCTTTGGACCTTAGATGTTTCGGCCCTTGGTCCATGGGTCTGTATTTGTTTGGAGAGTTTAATAGGGAGACCAAAAGGAAACCATCCATTTTGTCTCCCATATTTTAAGAAACACCCAAATCACATATATGCCTAAACTAGCCGGTTGACCTTTGGTTAACATCTTCTGGTCTACTTTCGGTCCTGGCCCCTCGACCCAGACACGCAGTGGGGCGTTTCCTTTTCTCTTTTCTTGGGGGTCGTTTAAGGTCAACCAGCAAGAATAGCACAAACAGGCTCCCTTTTCTTCTGATGCGTCGAGCTCGCAGTTTTTGTAGTTCCCTAGTCCTTCTATTGGCTGATGGAATCGAAACAAAGGACAACACACTGGAATGTTGCGGTCGGGGACCCATACACAGGGGGTCCTATCACTCTTTCTGGGTGAGTTGTGATTGGTTGCAAGGGAGTATTATAAGGGGCTAAACGATTACCAACATGTTTGCAACTGATCATGACTGAATCTAGTTTGTTTTTTTGCCTACCCCATTCTAATGTTTTCATTGACTAAAAAAAATGGTGCTGTCACTACTGAACGAATGTTTACTTTTTCCAGGGGGCTTCAGCAAATGGAATAATTCGTTAGGCGCTTATAGGCTGGCAGGATGTCTTGGACCATGCCATGCCAGGGTTTTCGAACCCTGGGATCCGCCAATGACGATGGGATTCGCCTGCACTCGGATGCGGCACAGAGAACGGGTGGAACGGCAGGACAACCCAACCAAAGGGCACAAGGGCAGCCTTAACTCACCCTTTGGAAGTGTTCCCACTGACTAGTTTTTGTTTGAACAAGGAATTAAAAAGCCTGACTGAATGGGTGTTTGAGGTACTTTGCCCTTTTGGGGTTGGTCTAAGGGTAGAACTATGGGTCAAGCTTTGGAGGCTCCGCAACCCTATTTTCACACATACTTGGGGTGTCGGTAGGACACCTTCCACACGTACGGGTCCCAAGTCGGCAAACCACCCGTTCCAAGCCGTTTGGAGTGCAGCCTGCGAATGCCCGGAACACACTCGCCGGGCAAATAAAAGACGCGCCGACGCTCGTGAGTTCATGACTCTTAGTTTTGAGAGTTAGAACCAACATTTAATACTGTGCCAAGGCTTGAATGTGAACTACACAAGTGCACTTGAGCACAGAGGCTCTTGCGTGCAAAAAGAATGCAAACACCTCCAGATTGCCGAACAAAATGCTTAGATCCACGTCTCGGATGCTGGAACCACTACGCAATGGGTCTGATTCTTGTGTTTTTTCTCCCCAACAGCTGAAAGCTTTGGGGTCTCAGCCCAGATAGGGTCCGGGGCGGCCCTGAGGCAAGGTTCCACGAGGGTTCCACGAGGGTTCCACCCGGGCTCCACCAGGGTTCCACCAGGGCTCCACCAGGGCTCCACCAGGGTTCCACGAGGTTCTGCGAGGGCTGCGGGGTGGTGCGAGCACTAAAAAGAGCACCGCATGCTGTTGGGGATGTCACCTCTAGGTTTTTTGCATTGTTTCAGAAAAGTGTGAAAAACCTTGAGTCTTCTGGAAAAAACCAAGTGCAGACCCATGTCCCAGATTCTGGAACCCATCCCCAGGGCGAGCTTCTTTTTATTTGGAAACTCGAGGTCGTTTCATTGTTTGGAAACGTGTGAAAAACTTCAAGTTTTCAACAACAAACAAAAAGTTCAGACCCATGTCAACCACCAATGGGTCTGAACATGTTTCTTTTTTGGCACGTGTCCCAGATGCAGACGCGCAGGTAGATGCAGATTCGCATTCTTCCGAAATCGCACGCTCATGGCAACATGTTCTGTTAACAATCACACCCTAATGGGGTGTGTCTTTGAAGAGAATGCCCTCTCTGACGGGTTTCCTAGCACACCAATTTCCTCCGAAGGTTCCATGGTGCGAGGGCCCCATTTTTATTTTTATTTTTTGTGTGTTGGGGGGGGGCTAAATTGAAATCACTCACTTTTCCCTACCTATTTTTGGACAACATCAGTACCGCGCACACGGTGTATGTCTAAGTGTGTGTGTGTGTGTGAGGTTGCATGATTGTTTTGGGAGATGAGGGGAGATACAACGAACCAAAATGTAGGTGTGGTGTGGTGGGGTGTGTTTTGAATTAAAGCCCCTGAGATGCCGCGAGTTGGCTTGGGAGTAGAACAAGCTTGGAAACGTGAGGCTCAAGTAGTAGGGTGCCACGGTAAATGAGAAAATTGAGCAAGAAAAACGCCACTGCTGGTGTTGTTATCACCCATCGACCATGGCACCAATGGCACAGGTCGATGCATGGCAGACCTGTTCCCTCAGAATGCGACTTCCAACCTGCAAAACATCCGGAAACTTCACTGAACATGAGGCGACTGCATATGGGGTCAACGTGCCAAAACACCATGCAAATTTAGGGACCAATTGCATGCGACTTCTTTTACGTCCTCTATTTTGTGTGCATCCGTTCCACGGATGGCTGGCAGGCACGGTTCTGGGCATGTGCGAGAATCCAAAGATCCCCACTCCCTTCCAAATGGCATTTGCGATGCGGCTGAAAACTTCCAAGCCCGATTTGAGCGCCCAAAACCAATTGACTCATCGACTTAGCGTTCCATGTTCTACTTTGGGGACGACTCAAACAAATTGGCTGTGGGTCAAAACCAATGGAATCCTATTTTGGGGTAGGTGCGCCACCCATTTTAGTCTACTTTAGTGGGGATTGGGATTTTCACTGGGGGTACCACGGCCAATTGAAGTTGGGGGCCCCCGCCAAGAGTCCTTGGAGAGAGGGTGCTCACCAGGCGCCGGCGCTGTGTCTTTTTTGGGGGAGCCCCCTTTTTGGTTGAAAAGGGAAGCGAAAGGAAAACAACTCAACCATTTTAGGGTTTCCCTGATGTTGAGGCACACCTGGTTTTCGAAAAGGAGAGACAAATCGACTTCCTCGGTTCCTTCAGACTCTTTTTGTGGCGGTGGAAACCCAATTCTGCCGGCTTTGGCACAGATGGCGGGGCCTTTCTATTTCCTTGAACCAACATGTTCGCCGATTTCCGGCACAGAAATCAAGGGTCCATTCTGTTCCTTGTTCCAAGAAGACCATTTGGGTGGCTCGTCTTTTTGGAGATGGTACATCCTTTGTTTGTGTTGTAGAAAGGGACATTTTCGCGGTTGCCTAAAAAGGACACGCACATAAAAGTCCAGCGTGGGAAAAGGCTAATTTTGATCCATTTGCCAGGCCTGATGCGGCCCGGAGCCTTGGGAAATGCATAGGAAAGAAAAACCCAGTTGCGCATTTGAAACAGGTGGTCTGCTCTATTTCTGCCGTTTCAGGTGGTTGAACCGTTTAACCCATGGAAAGGACTTCCAAAAGTCAGAAACCATCAATATCGAAGCCAGGAAAAGCTGCGGCCCTTACTCAAACGCAAAGGAGTCTCCTTGCCTTGCTGATAGCTTCAGATTGTGCAGGAATCGGATCCCTATGTCGTGTCCCGGTTTGGTGGTTAAAAATCCAAATGGTTGGGTCAGTTTGTAGGGACCCTCAAAATCATGGCTTTCATTGTGGTTTCCCTGCAACCCAACGTTGACCAAAAAGCACACCCCGAGCATACCACAATCATGGAGTTGGAGTCGGGGAGTGTCATGAAACAGTGGGAATCCTGATTCGAATCTTGGGTGGCAGAAGCATCAACCAATCACCTGCAAAGGCCAATGCTCATTTCAGTTTCCCGAAAGCGGATGAAGTTGATCGCTTGGACATAGCAATGGACACTGTCAGGGGAGGGCAACATTGTCAGCTCAGATAAGGAAGCCTGTCTGGGGGCAGAAAGTTTGGTTTCGGCCAAGAGGACCCTTTAGCGTTTGACCTCGAATGACCTTGTATGTTCCAATCATCCGACGGCGTCGGTGTGTCAAGGGGAATGAGTTGTCCAGTTGTTTTTGTTTTTCCCGGTGCGCAGGCATAATACGGCGTGGTTGTGTTGCAGGCTTGTGTGGTGCTTTTCTGAGTTCTTGTGTTGAGGTGTTTAAGGCAGCGTTGCTTACGCCTGAATCAACTGCCCTTGACCTTTTGGAAAATGACCAGGTTCCTTCCAGCAATCAAAGAGCAAGGTGGGTCTGCCCGGTGCAGATGTTGACGTCCAGTGGCCAATTAAACTCGCAATCTCACAGACAGTTCGTACCCTTGTGCCAATCGGGTCTTTGGATCTGCTGAAGGCTTGGTTGGGGTCCATTTCGATACCTTGACGACAAACATGGTCGACCGCGATTCCACATGTGCTTTTGGGACCGTATTGTGAGTTTCGTTACCCTTGTTCCAATAATGGTAGCGCACAACGGCCTTTTAGAGGAATTTATACTTTCATTGTTAAAAAAGGAGAAGTGTCAAAGCCCGAAATCTTCTGCACTCCGGCACCTTTGTTTCCGAGGTGTGCAGACCAACAAGTCGGGAATCAGGCGACGGGTATCGGGCATGTGAGGCAATTCTTTGTGTTTGGCTCCCTAGAGTTGAGGTCGAGAACCATCATTTCTCTCCTGTCCTCTTGTGGAAGCAAGTAGTTGTGTCCGTTGCTGAGCATCTTCTCTTGGGGCCTGTTTGGTGGTTGTACCCAGATCGGTGGTGTTCCCTTTGTGTGGTTTTGCATGTTCCCCAAACAGCGAAGCATTGGAGTTCTATCCTGAGTCTTGAAGAATCGGAAAGTGTGACCCAGATGCCAGATGCTCCTGTCTCCGAGTCTCTGGTCAGACGCCAGATGCTGTGACGCCAGCTTTGGTGTCGCCTGCCTGCCCCCCTGTGTCTCCCAGCCTTTGGTCAGATGGCAGATGCTGTGACGCCAGCTTCGCCTGCTTGTCCCCCTGAGTCTCCCAGCCTCTCCGCTCAGATGCCAGAGGCTGTGACGCCGGCTCTGGCCGTCTCTTTGTGTCTCCGAGTCTCTCCGGTCAGACGCCAGATGTGGTGACTGCGTCGATGCCACATGCTTTGAGTTGTGGGGCTTCCCTTGCTTGCTGGGCCTAGTTTGATTGAGTTTTCCTGCTTCCAGCCCTCAACAGGAAAAATGAGGGTCTCCGGCCAAAACAACTAAACCGTCTGCTTCTCTGCTTGTTTGGCACGCCCGGCTCCCGCAACAGGGGCAGGTTGCGTGTGCCACGGCCGGGGATGGCCACGTCCTGTTGCTGCACGGGGCCGTCGTTCTCTAGTTATGTTTTTTGCTGTTGGGGTCGAGGCTGGCGCAATGGTAGTGCCACTCGGCGGTGGCTTTACTTATATTGGCCCCTGTTTGGTAGTGTTAGCCTCCCTCCCACTGGTGCCATGACAGAGGGAGGAAGTGGAAACATCGCCATATCGAAATGACTTTCCTTAAAGTGAGTTACAGTTGATGTCCATGGCAAAATGCAGGGATACAGAGCATTCCCCTGAAACGCAATTGGGTTTCCCCTGAAAGGACTGAAGGGGAGTAGTTAAAGGGGAATCCGCTTGCATCCTCGCTTCCTCCGTATTTCGTTCGTTCCCAACGAAGGGTTTCTAGAGACAAGTTAGGTGCAGATACCCATGGCCTGGTTGACTTCAGGCCTCAACTCCGGGATGCCAATTCCGCATCTGCGATCTTAGGTGGGTGTGTTGTTTTTTGTTGTTGCGGGCGAGGATGTTCTTGTGCATGGGTACTGTAATCATGGAATTAACCACCCCTGGGTTTAAGCCTAACCGTGTTGCTCACACGCACCCCCTTGGAAACAAGATCTCGGGTGGTGCACAGACACAAGTAAAGCCTGTGTACAAGCATTAAAATCATCATTCTAGAATGAGAAGTCAATGGGTTTTGGGCGCTGCTTACGTGCCATGGTCAAAGACCCCTCTACTGGGGGTTCACGGGAGCCATGACCACAGGCAGAAGGAGTTTTGACCATGGCTCATATGAGCCCAAACGAAAGACACCCAAACGGGGTCGCAGAGAGGCGCTCCAGCGCGCAGCTGCACCCCGGCACGCAGCTGCACACCGCGAGGTGCAGGCAGTGGGCGGTGGGCAGTTTGGGGGGTTGACGGTTTGCGGTTTTTGTTCCCCACCTGTCAGAGGGTTGTTGCTTATTTTTCTCGAGAAAAAAAACGGCCTGAAAGCCAACATCTCCAGGATAGCCAGATACAGAAACAGATGCCAGAGTACAGATGCGCCAGAGCCCGTCAGATTGTCAGTCATACAGAAGACAGTTTGTGTGGGGCCATACCACAGCCAGTCAGACACTGAGTACTTCACAGGGCAAGGAATCGTTTGCACATTTACTCGATTGAACATTGTCGAAAACGGGGTTTCCTTAAACCTCTTAGTACGTACGCAGAGCGGAAAACAGCTCAAACACCTGGTGGCTTAACCTTTGCTTGGACAGGGTTGGTTGTAACGTTCTCTTGGTACACAGGGCAGGAATCAAGAATCGCAACCACGACACCCGCAACACCCGCAACCATCACCGCAGCAGCAGCAGCAGCAGCAGCAACAGCAACAGCTTCATTCACAACGGTAACGGCAACGGCAACAACAACAGCAACAATATGCACAGTTCCGGGTGTGAGTGTTTGTGTGGGGCCTGTTTTCACAGAGCCACGCCAGAGCCTGTCAGAGACAGATATATGCGCTGGCCAGGGTCGTAAGCATCTTAGACTCCCAAAGTGACTGCCAAACATGTGTTTGCAAAGTACCTACAAACAAATCACTCCCTTCTCACAACACGAGCGGAATGCACAGTAAGCCCCCCCCCGACTATATCTGTTGCTTAGAAACAAACCACACGATCCTTGCAATAGCTTTGTCAGGCTCGTGGATTTGGTCCATTGCTGCAGGGTGGCCCTAAAGACATTGGGGAGAGGCGGCACGTTAGGCATTTTTCCCCTACTACCCCATGGGTGCAAATCCTGATCTCCCGTTTTTGGAGCGGGGAACGCGCTTTAAAATCAAGTAACAGAAAAGAGTGCCGAATCTTCCTTCCCATGGCCACTGGGGCCTGGATTGCAAGCGACGTGCTTTGATCGAGGCTCAAAAATGAGATACAACCGGACGCGCTTCGAACATGGAGACCCCTTTGATGTTCAGCACGTAGAGAGGGCAAGGGGAACTCCTGTTTTGAATTGGTGCGAGTCCAAGCGCTTTCGCATCATGGCAAAGCTTGGTGTTTGTCCCACGTATGAGGTGCCTAGATTAGCTGACCACGTGAATTGAACAGCGTTTTTGAGTTTGGGGGTCAGGACCTAGATCCGTCGTGGCTCCAGCACGAATTTGCACAGCTTCATGTACAGATTTATGGTTTATGTTGGAAGGATGTGGGCAGGAGCAGCCCATGTTGACCACAACTTATTTTGGCGTACAACAAACGAAACTCCATGATGAAGGCCCTTTCATTCCCTGACCATTCCTTGTTTCAACTTTGGAATGATTATAAGAATCGGCAAATATGTATATCCCACAAGTTTAGAAGTGGTTTGGAACCCAAGAAGAGGGTCCGGTTCCCATGGGTTTCGGGAACCACTCACAATGGACCTTCGACAACCATCAGCTTGAGGTGGCGCGCGCAGCTGCACCCCTAGAGGCGCAAGCCAGCCACTGAGAGAAATTATCCCCAATTCCGGTGCAGAGAGGGCAGAATCCAAGGAAGATTCTTTATTTCAGTTTGTATGGCAGAGTTTACACCCCCTGTTTTGGGCATGGAGTGCTCGATTGAGCTGTTCCGGCGTTTAATCTCCAGTGGTTTTTGTCTTAAACACGCCCGGACCTTTGCTATTTATTCCCCCGTTTTGAGACCACCTGTGGATTGGCAGTCTTGAAGTGAGCTTCTCTTTGGAGCGATGTACGTTGGACATCTGAGGAGCCCTGGAACCAGCGGGAGAAATGCTTGGGGGAGTGCAAGAAGTGTGATTCACTTCGCCCACGCATGTGTACAGAGAGAACCAGCGAAAAGAGAAAGGACAAGGAACCTCAAGAACAGAAGCTTGCCACTTTGGGAAGTCCAAAAAGCAATAAACATGAGGGGCTCCCGATTTCAAGCACAAAGATGTCTTCCTCGGCTAGGACGCAAAACCTCCAACTCGCCAACCGATGTTCTTGCATCTATGCGAAGCACATGTTGCTCCTACCTCAAACCCAGAACCAAATTGTAAATTGAGGGGAAACCCAGTCTGGTTGCTAAATAACCAACATTGTTGTTGTTTAGCCGAAAGGTGAGCAAAAGGGCATGTGAAAACAAGGCACATACCCCCTTGGTTTCGTTTTAATCCCACCCAAAAGAAAAGGTACCCTCCAAAAACTCACGAAAGTCTAGCCGGTTCCCACACAAAATGGCAAGGGGTGAACAGGCCCCATTATTTTAAGAGAAAAGTTGTCTTCACGATGGGGGGGCATGTGCACCAAAACGGAAATCCGTTTAATGGTGAGCCATAAGTTCTGACTATTTGTTGGGTCAATCCACTCCGGAAGTGGGGTACCTTTAGATTCAAGGTAAAGCAAGGTCTTTAGTTTGAAGGCGCTGTCCAGTTTGATCAGTCAAAACACCACTTGCCATAAAGTTGGGTGCTTCCAGAGGCGACCCAAACAACGCGGACACCCTTTTGCCAGACCAAAGGCTTGCCTGCTTGGCTTTTGCCCTTTTGGTTGTCCATAAGTTTCTCTTTCAACCAGCAAAAAGGCTAACTTGTTGCAGCGGGTCTATGTGTGGCCCAGCTGCTTTAGGATGGTGTGAAAGGTGCGAACAACTACACCATCTTAAGCAATTAAACTAAAACCCCTTCCGGCTTTCCAAGCCAACCAACTCGCTTGCGCCCTTTGAAAGGATTGAACAGGAACCACAAGTAAGTTCAAACCAAATACGTATTTACACAAGTGGTTGGCCGAAACCTGGTGTGGTTCCTGTTTGGCAGTTGGCGAAAAGAAGAATCCCCCATTTTAGAAACAAGCCCTATGAGCTCCGCCAAAGCGTCAAACAAATGACAGGCCACGCCCATGCGCCCCAAGACTGGGATCAATCTGCTTGGGGCATCTATGCGTCATGTCCCTGGCAGGCATAGAGCGAGTGCCGCTCTCTGCTCGCGTGCGGCTGCCGAGATACGGGCCAGCGCACATTGTCATCCGACATTTTAGCAGGGGTCACTGGGGGTCCCTTTCAGAATCTTTCAGAAGTTGCAGTTTCCTGGTGGTTTCAAAAGAAACTGCAAAGAGCGCCATCTTATGATCAAGTCTGTTGGATACGCTGGTTTGGGAAGCCGGCCTAAAATAGTGGGCCGTTCCCGGACCCAGGGAGAAGGTGTGCTTGGGGTGATTCTGACGAGAAGAGAACCAGTGAGGCATTCGCAGAGGAGCCCTTGCTTGGCACCCGCAGCATACCAGCTCACCCGGAGTGATTTGATAGGTTCCTCGATTCGAGTGTGTTCAACAATATATTTGGCAGATGATTGGAACCCTGAATCTCATCAGCGATCCCTTGCCTCACAGATTGCGTGCTACTTGAGCCCATTGAGCGCCTCCTTATTGAATGTTTGATATGCGCAAGATCAGTCTCACCTTGCCGAGTCGCATTTATTCGGCGAATTCTGTCCGGGTTTCTTCTTCGGAACAATAGCCGCCCTGTTCTGAACCCCATGCGAATCGGACGTGCAATATACCCGCTGCTGATCCGCCTGCCTGCCTGCGATTTGGATGCTGCGGCCGGCTTCGCCATGGACCCACCAAAGTTACATTTCCAAACGACCGATTACTTCAGTGGGGTTGGCAGGCGTACTCCTCCAGTTTCTGGACTCTGTACTTTTGCAACAATCTACTCTGGAAGTGAGTAGAAATGGTCATCAACTCTTAGCAGGTATGTTTTTCAATGGGTACAGCCTTCCCAATCCGAATCTGTCCAGACATCCGCTAGGAAAACGGCTGATTGTTTGAATTTTAACGATTGAAAAAGAATGGAGAATCAACCTGTAGAATAATACCCCTTTTCAGGTTGCTTTAAAGAGAAGCAACAGGGAAACTCGATGCAGTCAGTTCCTTTTTGAGCCCGCCATATCCAGAAAGCCAACCCGAAGCCCGAAAGGCTTCGCCCTGCACACCTGACTTTGACGAGGCCGGTGGCTTGCTTGTCTTCCTGTTCATGGAGTTTGGGCGTGCTTTTGCCAATCCACTCAAGTGAAGTTATTCTGTATTGAAGGGGGGGGGAGGCCCTTTGCTGGGGGGGATTTCCACATTTGAAAAGTATGGTGTTTGCCCAGATGATTACAGCCCACTTAGCTTACCATCGTGGCGTTGGCGGGTTAGTCTAGTAAAACCTATGGTTGCTAACTAGTTGCTAAGTACCCTGCTCGTTTAAGTTGCCAGCTGAAGAGAGCATGCGTGTATGCGTGTCAAGGGTTTCATGTTGGCAAAGCCCAAGGTAGGTGCAGACACTTGGCGCTTGCTCTTTTAGTGCTCTTTTCCGCAACCCCCAACCCGAGTTTCAAGTCTACTGGTTTACAGGGAAGCCGAAGAGAAACCACCACCCACTGTTGGGTGCCCCGATTTAAAGACAACCGTTAAGGATGCGCAGAATACTCGTTGCAACTGTGTTCAACGTTGCTAGTGCCGAGCGTTCGTACAGGAGATTCCAGGGGTTTGGAACACACTCCCCCCATGGATTAGAAGCACATAGCGTTGTATGTGTGAGGCGGTTTGACAAGCTGTTCTTTGGAAGTACAGACAGAGCTGCGCGCATGTTTGGGAAGCAGATGCGGCCAGCGAATCATAGCGACCTCCCAAACGGCGACTTTGCGAGGGGCAGCAAGAAGGTACCATTCTTCTCAGTTCTTCCTTATTTTAACGCCTCCGGCTCAGGCCGCCGACATTACAGGCCTGCTTTCTTATTTGCGTCCCCTTTGGAATTGTCCCCTTACCCCCGTTCCCCTCTAAGATCTTTCCCCCCCGTCCGCCCCTGAGATCTTCTCCCCCTTTTCCTCCCTATGATCTTTTCCCCCCTTTCCCTGTTGAGATCCTTCCCCCCTTTCCCTCCTAAGGCCTTTTCCCCTCCTGAGAAATTCTCCCTTTTCCTCCCTAGCTTTCCCCTGTTGAGATCCTTTCCCCCCTTTGCCCCCCTAAGGCCTTTTCCCCCCCTGAGATCTTCTCCCGTTTCCTCCCTAAGATCTTTTCCCCCCTTTCCCTGTTGAGATCCTTTCCCCCCTTTCCCCCCTAAGGCCTTTTCCCCCCCTGAGATCTTCTCCCTTCTCCTCCCTAAGATCTTTTCCCCCCTTCCCTGTTGCGATCCTTTCCCGCCTTTCCCGCAGATCTTTGCCCCCCTTTCCCTCCTCCCTCTTGTTCCCCCCCCCCCCTAAGATCCTTTCCCTCCTTGCCCCCCCCTAAGATCTTCCACCCCCCTTCCCCCCCTTATAGCATCTTTTTCCCCCTTTCACCCCCTAAGATCGTTTCCCGCCTTTTGCCCCCCTTAGATCTTTTCCCCCTTAAGATCTTTTGCCCCCCTTCCCCCTTAAGATCGTTTCACCCTTTCCCGCCCTAAGATCCTCCCTTGTAAGATCTTTTCCATTGCCCCCCTTTGCCCCCTAAGATCTTCCCCCCCCCCCCACACTCTTCCCCCCCTAAGTTTTATTCCTCCCCTCCCCCGATCTTCTCCCCAGTGTTTTCCCCCCTTTCCCCCCTTAAGATCTTCATTTCCCTCACTTTCCTTCACTTCCCTTTCATGTCCCTTTATGTCATCCTTTTCCTTCATTTCGCTTCATGTCATTGGGCAACATCCCCAGTATCACTTGCATCATCCACATCCTTGGTGGGCGCTGATGCGGATGATGCAGATGATACTGGCGATGTTGCCCAGGAGATGCTAAGGATGCAACGGGCCCGGGGGAATCGAACACCCCAATGTTTTTAACGCAGCTATGCCCTGCACTAGTGGTAATGTCGTATGAGCCCGCTCTGCCCCTCATAGGCTCTCTGTCCAGCCCAGGAAATGGCGCACTGTTTCAAGAAGCTGCGAAGTTTCCTGGAATTTCCTGGGCTGGACATAGGGCATCATAGAGCAGTGTGGGTTCACCGTGCCTTTGGGGAGCGGTAAAGGTAAAGAGGTAAGGATCACAAGTTGGCGGATGTCTTAAAAATCGACCAGAAACCAACAAACAGGCTTTGCAATTGTGTTTTAAAGCCTCTGGCTTGATTGCAATGATTTGGTAATGTCGACCCCGGATCAACGAACCTGGTGGCTTGTTTGGGAGTTCCCAAAAAGGTGACCCGGACTTCAAATGCCCCCCCCCCCCAATTCAAAATCAATCAGGGCTTGATTCAGCCTGAGTTCCCCATTATGATTCCCGCACCCTGCCCTGCCCTCGGTTCCGATGGAGATCAGCGGCATTCAGATCCATGCCGTTTCATGGAATCGGAGGGCCAGTTTGAAGATGGTGTTCTTTCGCAACTGTCGAATCGGCCACAAAGCAGAACACATTATTTTCTGCCTGCCCAGATGAGTTCAAACACACTTCGCTCAGGACCTTGAAAAGGTTTGAGGCAGGAACTGTTCCTTGCAGATTTGTAGAAGAAGAGCTTGGGAAGTTTGAGAAAGGTTCGCAAGACTTGCGAATGCCCCCTTCGATCTTTGGGGTCAGCTGGCTGATCAATGCGCAACACAGATGTTCGGGGACTGCTTGAAGAACATGTTCACTGCATTCAGACATTGAACGAATTGTGCCGGTCTCGTGCTGCACTGAGGTCAAACATAGTGAAATAGTACTGCTCACAACTGCTTTTACTTTCGATATGAGAGGCTGATCGTTTCATAGAGGGAATGGGGTTTGGACTGGTCCTTACCAAAAGAGCTACCACGTTGGGCGGTGGAAGGGGGTCTGTTTCAAAGCAGGGACTCCCGTGGAGCGTTGTATGTCTCCAGGAAACCGTCAGGTGAAACATTTTTCTTGACACCTCCGAAGTTTTTGAATTTTTGGGTGCTAACTCGAGCGCTTCTCCGTCCCTTAAGGGACTTGCAAAGCTTTTGTTGCATACCATTTTGTTGGTACTCAGTGAATCCCAGTTGGTTCTAACAGCCATTCTCCTCTTTCCCCTCTTAAAAGGTGGTTCCCTTGGTTACCCACTTGACAGGGAGATTGAATCACTTGGGGTGAACCACAAGCTCTTTTTGATATCGATCAGGAAGACGCAGAGGCCGCACTTCTGGCCGTCCGCGCCCCAAGCCGAAGGCAATTCGCCATTTGCCAGACTGGGAATGGGGGACTAAGACAGCCTGGGTTCCAAACATAGTCCTTCAGGGTAAACCCCAAATAAGGCAGACAGAGAACATCACTGGCAAACAATTCCTTTTTTGAGGAGCGTGTGTGTGCGCGCGTGTATTGAATCGGAGTGGCCCTGGGTCTTGCGCTTGGAAACCTTGGATTCCATTCTTCAATAATCTAAGCGGTGGGAGCGTGGCTTCTTTTCAGCTGTTGTCTTTCGGGGAGTCACCCTGCTATCAATTTGCCACTAGCTGGTTGTTCGGCATGGTTATCCGTGGTCAAAGTTGCCTCCACCCTTGACCAGACCCCCAGAACTGACAGTGAATTTGAGTCCTAAAATTATGGTTTCCCTGTTGCTTCCCTGCAAATTTTGCTTCTGCTTCTCGTTCGTCTTTCTCATGTGCCACTCTCTTCCCCTGTGATTATTTTGCGGTCATGGCTCTCATGTCGCGGTTGGCAAGCGGAAGCTGCCTAGAGGGTCAGTCGGCTTGCATGTCAAGTGCCCAATGTTGGAGACAGCCAGAGCGAAATGTGACACCAAGTCCGAACTGTGCAGGGGTTGGGATGCCCAGATCATGATGCCGGATGAATAGATTGTCTCTACTCCTTTGAACTAAGCCTTTGTGATGTGTGTGTGTGGGTGTGTGCGTGCGTGCGTGTGTGTGTGTGTGTGGTGTGTGGTGTGTGGTGTGTGGTGTGTGGTGTGTGGTGTGTGGTGTGTGTGTGTGGTGTGTGGTGCGTTGTGCGTGGTGCGTGTTGTGTTGTGTGTGTGGCGTGTGTGTGTGTTGTGTGGTGTGTGGTGTGTGGTGTGTGGCGTGTGGTGTGTGGTGCGTGGTGTGTGGTGTGTGTGTGTTGTGTGGTGTGTGGTGTGTGGTGTGTGGTGTGTGGGTGTGTGTGTGTGGGTGTGTGGGTGTGTGGGTGTGGGGGTGGTGTGGGGGTGGTGTGTGTGCGGGTGGTGTGGGGGTGCTGTGGGTGTGTTTGTGTGTTTGTGTGTTTGTGTGTTTGTGTGTTTGTGTGTTTGTGCGTTTGTGCGTTTGTGCGTTTGTGTGTGCGTTTGTGTTTGTATTTCTGTTTGTGTGTTTGTGTGTTTGTGTGTTTGTGTGTGTGCGTTTGTGTTTGTATTTGTGTTTGTGTGTGTGCATTTGTGTTTGCATTTGTGTTTGTGTGGGTGGGTGGGGTGGGGTGGGGTGGGGTGGGGTGGGGTGGGGTGGGGGGCGGCACGGGGTGGGGTGGGGTGGGGGGGGGTTGGGGGTTCGTGTGTGGAGCAATACCAGAGCTGGAATTTTCCTAGATTTGATGTGGAGGAGAGCAAGCAACGGATGATGTTCCAGCATTTGCAACAGTTATGCAGTCAAGCTGACGTACATGCACCACCTCAGTCTGAGTTTGGTTTCTTGGCGTCCGCTTTGGTCGAGCCTGAAATTCACCCTTTCTCAGTGCAGTTTATGACTGGTGCAAAATTTGATTTCTGGAGGTTCTGTTTCAAGACATGTGATGTAAGAAAGGTTAAGCGGGGAGAGTGCGTGTACTTCTTCGCACATGCCACCACACCACAAGGGCTGGCTGGCATTCTCAATCAGCAACGGATTTTGGCCGATGTGGAGTCTGGAGACTGTGCATTTTACTGCCAGGCAACGCAAGATGGTTCAGAGTGGGCGGTTGCAACAATGCTCCGGAAAGCAGCAGACTCAGGCAAATGGGCATGTCCAGTCATCGTCGAAGGTCAAGCAATTACACCTGGACAGCACCAGGTAGTGCGAAGTGGAGGAACAGAAGCAGCGCAAAACCTGGCCAATGTCTACGGCGTCGCAAATCATTCATCAGATGGAGTTTGGGCAATTCACGAGGACTTGCAAGTCCTTACTCATGTGACAATCGCTGTACGTAAGGTGGCAACCAGAAGAGTTGACCCCCAATCTGGTCGCCCCTTGTTCCATGACAAGTGTGGGCAAGGCAGTTCACCTCAATAAGGATGTGTTGGCTAAAACATGAAAAACACGTCTTGCTGATGTGCCATGCGTTTTGACTCACATGTCGAACATGGCGGTGCTTGCGTGCTGACATGACACAGAACATTTTGACGTCGTAATTTGGAGACATTGCCAGCTGTTGTCCCGCGTGACTTAAAAGGCAACTCGCCCTGTTTTCGTTGTAGTTCAGATTAGGAGTTTCCTTTGTTGTGAGAACTAGGCAGCCATGTCTCAGTGGAACCAGCGTGGGTGGCAAGAGTCAGACAGCTGGAACAACAGGGCTTGGGGTCAGCAGTCATGGGACAAGCAGTGGAGTCAGGAGTCGGGTTGGAGCAACGATGACTGGCGCCAAGACAAGCACGAGTCCATGAAATATGCTGCGCAACTGCCGGACAGTTTTGCCAGCAACACCGAGGACTACGACGCTAAAGTTGTACTTGGTAGGTCTTTGCCCAGGACCATCAGCCCGACAGATTGGGCCCGACAGCATGGTCTGGCTCACAGTGACATAGCTGACATCCGTCTTGTTGATGTGTGTTGGCGAGGATGGCAGGAGTGGAGTTTGCGCACACTGGCAGCTGGAGTGCCGACCCATGTGGCTTTTACACGCAGTGCCAAAGAAAGCGTGTTCATCAGTCGGTTGCTGTCTTGGATCAGGCATCAAAAGATTGATATTGACCAATGCGTCAGCAATGCATACCAGGAGCAGATGGGCCGGTTTCCAACCCAAGACATGTTGACCAAAGACGCAGCCAAATGCATAAACATGCTCATCAACAAGTTAGCCCCAACGTTTCAGAGTTTGGCTGGCCACAGTGGTGATTCGTCAGGCTCTGCCATGCTGGCTAACAGCAAACGACAGGTTGAGGAGCCCCATTCCCCTCCACCAAGCAAGAAGGCTTGCACCAGGTCCCCTTCCAAGGATGAGCCTTCCCCGCCTGAGGCTTGGACGCTCAGCCCTCAGAAGCGCTCAGCCCTCAGAAGCGTACTCTCCATGATGTTTGCATTCCTAGCGAAAAGAAGGCTCGTAAATGGAAGGAGTTGACCAAGCTTTCCAAGAAAGAAGAAAGGCAGGTCGAGGCCACCATCGAACAGCTTGACGCATATTACAGACCTTGGATGCCCAGCAGCAGGCTCAGCTAAGAGATGTGGCTATGTCATGGGGATTGCCTGTACAGCAGGCTACCAAATTTGCAAACAAGACGCTCATTAGTTTGGTGGCCTTGGCTGCGCACCGTCTGCGCTGATTGTACAGACAAGTACGCCTGCGTAAGGCGACGGCAGACCTGGTAAACCAGTTGGTGTGCGTATTTGATTTTTTCCGCTGCCTCTGTCAGGCACAAGGGGGAGAATGTAAGGCTTCATTTTTTGCTTTGGCCCAATGGGCTTGGCTGATTATACTTTTCCATGCTTCGGCTGACACAGAGACACATATGGAATGGAGACAAAGATTACGAGACTTGCGAGTCACACCATGCAATTTCTCTTTCAAATGGTTCTGCCGGCCTTTTGCCGTATATGTTTGCATGCCTCGGTTTCAAACACACGGAGACATCAAAACCGTCAAGCCAAGGTGCGTCAGGTTTGTCAGGCACCCTGACCCGCACCGAATTGGCTGTGCGGTTCTGGGTGAAACATGCTTGCTTTGATGAGTACTTGCCACTCATGGTTGCGCCTGCAGACAATGCAGTTGACATCCGCGCTAAAGAGCATACACTTATTGCTCTATGGAGGCCGTACCTCAACCACCCATATATTTCCACACAGCTCAAGCTTCAAGACGCAGGCTTTGTACCTGCGCATCAGCAGGTACGTTCTAGGTACGCACAAGGAGGACGAACACTTTTTGACCGAGCGCAGCGGCTTGCTCGTTCATGGAGAATCCGTGGGTTTTATTCTACTTTGTTTTTGAGATGGAAGTCGCTTTTCCGATTAGGGTCCAACTCTGCGCAAGCTTTTCATGAACGACGTATATTAGGCAGTGCTCGCGTGTCTGTGGATGAGGTGTACATGTTATATCGACTGTCGTGGAACATGGAAGAACCTCATCGCTCTGTTGTTCGGTCGCAGTTGCAGTCTGTTTTGACTTTCAAGGGCGCACGAATTCCGCCCATCAACCGGGCTCTCAAGTTGCCTGCCTTGGCCTTCCCAGATTGGGACCGACACATTCAACGCATTCTTGCTCACGTTCGGGCCATGTTCCAAGCCCAGCTCTTGCCTTTTCACCTGCCCTCCGTGAAAGTTTTAGAAGCGCGACATTTGCCTGTTAGCAGTTGCGTCCACAATTGGCGCGTCTGGCTTGAGAAGTACCCCTTTGACGATGCTGTGGATGCCATTCCTTGCTGTTGCCATGAGTATAATGGTGCGCGCGCAGTAAACTTCACAACATCTGGGCATGTTGCCACCCCTTTGGCCACATTGCCAGAACTCCTGCGCGTGCCAAACCTGCAGAATTTCCTACAGCGCTCGGCTAAGTCTGCCATCTATTTTTCTATCAAGCGCTACTTAGACAACGCGAACAAGGAATTTGCAAAGTGGAGTAAGATTCATGGTTACCCAGTTCAGGCCACTGCTGTATTCAAGGAAGCCTTGGAAGGATTGTGGGAGAGACACACAGCTGCTCTACCGCATGGCGCAATCACTTTTGGCCATGTCATGTCCGCAATGCCAGTATGGAAGCACTTTGTGGTTCACTGCCAAGACCACCAACCTGATCACCTTATGGCTTACTGCCCCCGGTTGTACATTCAGTTGTTGCGGGATACTTTTCTGGATGACCAAATTTATTGTCGAGTGCGCACAACACCTGCGTTGTTGCAAGTTACCATCCAGCACCGGATTCCTGCGCGGATTCGTCAAGCGTACCCCTGGGGCTTCGCCAACAACGCGCGCCTTCCAGCTGGGTACATTCTCTCCAAGTCCAAGAAAGACTTCACCACTGCTCGTCCAATCATTTCGTATTTTAATACCATGTGTGCCAGACTTTTGGACGCAGTGGCCAAGGCGTTGTTTTCAATGCTGCATGTACACTTTCCAGAGCAGTTCCAAGCACGATCAAATTCGCGGATGTGGTCTGACCTTCATGAATACTTGGCACGGACGGAGGGAGAGAGTGTCGCCTTTGTTAATGACGATTTGGTTGGATATTTTACTAGTATCCCCCAAGACCGTTTACTTGCTGCGACAGAAGGGCTGCTTCAAAAGGTTGCTCAGGATCGAGGTGTCAGCATATTTGAGCTATGTATATCTGTGGATGTCGTTGAAGCCAACCCTTTGCTCCGATGTGTTTTTGGACGCAGCTTTCAACACCGAGGCCACAAGCGACGTAAAGTTCTTCATGCCAGTCATATTTTGGACATTGTGAAGCTCAGCTTTGCTGTGGGCACATTTGTCGTCAACAGGAGGTGCTTCCGGCAATGCCGTGGCACTTGCATCGGAAACCAGATCTCACCAGTTTTATCCAGCATCGCAGTTGCCACGGTTGAAGCTACATGGACACACATGTATGCTGAATGCTTGCGCAACTTTCACATGCAGACATTCTTTTTCAGATATGTGGATAACAGGTGTCTTCTGTTTCCGCAGTCCTACAAGGCTGCGCCCGCTATTGCACAGCTGTGTCAGTCGGGTTTTTACAACCCACCGGTGTGTTTGGAAGACGTGGGTGATTTTGCGCTTTCTTGGATTCAACTTGAACATGGACGAGCTCAGCGTACAGTATGCTTTACCTAAGCATGCCTGGCAAGTCAAGTCCCCTTTGTCCGCTGGTAGTCAACGATTGTTGTGCAGCGGGCTCCAGTCCAGAGTTGTGTCAATTGCACGGCAGACATTTCCTGCCAGATGTATTCCACCTACTTTGCTGGGATTGTGGATGTTTTATGTGAAATTTGGGTTTGACTCCCATGAAGTTTGGAGAACAATTCGCCGAACATGTCGTAAATGCAGGCATGATATTCAAATGCCACCGTGGCCTTCTGAGTGAATACGTATTAATTTTTGCCCAAAAGATGGGCTCAGCTGTTTGCAGCGCAATGCTTGCTTGTCCAAAAAACCAATGCGGCTGCAGCAATTGTGGAATGTTTTCCTGTGTTTGCTCAGACATTCAGAAATGCAGAACCGTTTTAGACAATTGGCTCGCAGACTACTATTGTCTGCCCGGGGCCTTGCGTGGAGATAGGAGCTCTTCCCAGTTCGGTTTTTTTCCCCACTTGGTTTTGTGTGTGGGTGTGCGTGTGTGCGGGTCTGCCAAACAATTGTTGCTTTCACCTTTCAGAAAAAACAGCTTGGCCCGCAGACACTGACTGTCTGGCCGGGGCCGTGCGTGGAGGTGCTGACATGTCACGTTTGCCATGAAGCCCGCTGGTGAACGCGTCGTGTGTTTACTATTGCGCCCCGAAAGGGGCGTGTGTGTGTGTGTGTGTGTAGCACCCTGTTTCCAAGGGAACGTTTGCAGCTGAAGCATTCTTTGCACCGAGCTGCGCGCCTGCCAAGGATTGTTGAGATTTTTCCTTTCCTAGACAAATGATCGCACAAACAGGCATGCCTGCAGACACTGGAAGTGCTGACGTACCATGCTTCACATTTTTTCTACGAAGCTGCGAGCTCGATGTTTGGCTACTTTTTCATATCTTTTCTTACAATGCAGGGGGCCCTCGAGGCCTGTGTAAGACGAGGGCCAACGAAGACGCTTACACAGTGCCTGTGAAGCGGACTGGGACGCCAGTTTGTGTACCTGCATGTGGGACTGCGCCTGGGCCATTGCTCTGGCAGCTGGCGGGTCCGCAATTTGAACGGCTGTTTCCATTTTCCACGTTGGCTGGCTTCATTGTCAAGTGCCCCTTTTATGTCACGTTCTGTTAGGTTTGGATTGGTGCAGCCTCCTCAGTATTTTTTGAACATTCGACACGCAAAGTTCCCGGTCTCCATTTGTGATGCCGGTTGATATCAGGAGTGGCGAGCTCAGATGTCAAGACAACATTGGATGTAACGTAACATGAGACAAGAATTAGATACTCCAAGTGTGTGTGTGTGTGTGTGTGTGTGTGTGTGTGTGTGTGTGTGTGTGTGTGTGTGTGTGTGTGTGTGTGTGTGTGTGTGTGTGTGTGTGTGTGTTGCTGTTTTGTTTTTGTGTGTGGGTGGTGTGTGTGTATATATATATGCGTGTGTGTGTGTGGGTTGCACCAAGTTCGTTGTGTGTTCCCTTGTGTTTCCGTTTCAACCGACCCCCCCTAAAAAAATGAAATGTGGCCCACCATCCGGCTAGAAGTTGCAAGGCGAGGAGCCGACGCGGTGTGCGGCTCTATCCCTTCAACCCCCACTCCAAGTCGATCATCGACCAGGTGGGACCCGATGGACGGAAGGCTGAGCGGAGTTGTTTCACAGAAATTGGTGTGCCTTTTGTTTTGCTGGTGATACCCGTTTTGGGTGGGTCGCAAATAAAGGGAAACCAACCAAGTTGGGAGCTCTCCTATCTCAAGACAAACCCATGTAGGTTTGTGGTGTGCCTTTTGGGTTCTCTTTGAAACTACCCAACTTTTGGTGCACGCTCAAAAAGGTGACAGCCCCAAATGGTCTGCCATGGTGCAGGTGAATGCAAGCGGGAAAGGGTAGCAATTACAAAGGCGCGCATGAAAGCTGAGCTCAGCTGCAGCTGAGTGGCCACACCCGCGTTTCTTTGCTGCCGGCTCTTGTGGCCAATAAGTGACAATCACTATTGTTGATTTTGATACTCACTTTAGGTGCTTTTTCGGAAGGGAAACCGCAGGGAAACCAGGCCCCATTTCAGGAGCTGTCCTTCCATGTTGCTCTTGACCCTGCAGCAGCATGTCGTTGCCACATGCTGCTGGTTTCCGCTAACGCTCTTCTTGCATCCACCCATCCACCATTCATTGCAATGTTTGTGTTAACACAAGGATTTGGACCCCCAAAAAAATTAAGGATTTATGAAGCTTTGGCTTCCCACACAACCAACCTGAAAAAATGGGTTCTCCCCTCAGAAAACCGCACAAAACCCACGTGATAAGTTATGGGATTCCAATTGCGGAATTTCATTCAGAATCGTCCTTGACTGCCATTGCAGCTCCACTCAGCCAGTGCAGGGGTCACTCAGTGTGGGCTCGCAAAACATGGCAACAACTACTAACCCAAAGAAGAAGAAACATGAAAGAAAACTAACTGCAAGTGAAAGGACCCACAACCCTAGCTGTCCTTTTGAACAAACGACTGGCGCTGGCAAATGATTGGAACCAAACTGAAACCAGCGTCTATTTTGAACCACATTGACCGAACAACAAGACCTAGACCCACAATGCTCAACGTCAACTTCCTGGCACTTGCTTTGTGCCAGGTTTTGTACGGCAGCAAAGCCGTCAGGCTTAACTGTCCAATATTTATACGCCCCGAGCAAAACCCACACAGTAAAAGGTCGTTGAGATGTTTGCTCCACTAGCTGCCTCGCCTCCCCACGCCACTGGTTGGCGAAAATGCTGGCTGCTAATCAGTGTCGGAAATTGCAATTTGCTTGGGAATGACTCTGGCTTGACCGCTGCTCTAGTGGATACCCTAGCTTGCTCCTTGACGACCCCAACCACCCTAAAGCAAACAATTGGCCATGTGTCTAGTTTCTCCTTTCCCTCGCCTGTCCCTTCAGCGAGTTCTCGCCTCCTGTTGGAAGGGTCAGAGTACTTGATAAGTGTTTAGCAGCCATAGTTGCGACCCGCTTAGGGGCTTACAATCATTGAGTTTGCTGAGTTCACTATGCCCCTTTCACCCTTCGCCCTCCGTTCGCCTTGTAAGAACCCGCTGATTCGCCTTGCTTCATTTCGAGAGGTGGTGTTCGGCCATGAGCTGGATGTCGATGAGAAGTTTGATTCTCGGCACTTTCATGCCATGTTCCAGGAGACGTTGGGTTCAAAATTGGATTGGAAATGGGCCGGGACTTAAAAATAGGATGGTTTCCTCCCATAAAACCAACCCGAAAGGGGGCACCCTCAAAAAAGGCAGACGTTGGAGTCACGAGAACGAGGGTAGGCTACTTGGCAACTAGTTACCCTTCCTCTAACCGAAGGCAGTTGTCGGGGTATCTGGAAGATCATTTTTATCTAATTAGAGGATCCTTGCCGCGGAAGGTATGCGGAGGGTCTTTTTCTAAAGAAAACTCGCGGAAGCGATTTGCTTTTCCAGAATTACGTCTGCATTTTCAAGAATTGTGGTCAAAATCGTGCACACGATGCGCGCAAGCTACCTTCCTCAGTTTCCAGAAACAACTTGCCCGCGGAAGGCCCGCGGAAGCACTTATATTCAAACATGCTTGCAGAAGGTTTCTAAGTGCGCTTGCCCTGCAAGCAGTTCCAGGATTAAGCAGAGGCGCAGTTGCCTCCTGATCTGATACATGTCGGCGCTGCATTTGCGCAAAAAGACAGACAAGATGCACCGGATTGCTGTGCAGGCTGTTGTTCCTAGTCATCCACAAAAAGGACCAATTCTGAAAACAGGCGCTCAAGTTGAGCCTCATGCGTGCGCTCAATTGGAGAGCTTTCCCCACTGGAGATCAGCAATGCAATGCACGTGCGCATGGGTGAAGGCAGAGTTGTATCAAGCCCACTCACCCAACCGCCCAATGGTTCCCTTCGTTCCTGATTTGTTCTGCCTTTTTCCCTCTAGCCAGTGCAGGTCCGAGGGGAAAGCAAGCACTCCAATGACTGATTTGAAGCCAGTGTTTGCGCCCGATGTTTGCGACACCAAGGACATCCCCTTGTAACTGTCAAAGAAGTCATGGGGATGGGAATCAACCACCTTCACAAAAAGGAGTCATTTCCCACAAACCACGCCTCATGTTGGCTTCCCTTGAAACCGCACGTGATGTTGGTTTCAGTTCGTACAATCGTCATCCACTCACTCTCTTGCCGGACACTTGATATGTGCTCAAAAGACGATTAGATAACAGTTTGAACTTGTTTGGGCCAATTTACTCCGACAGTGAGTCAACAGAAGGGCACATTGTCAAAATTGGGGTACACAAAAATTGGCGGGGGGGGGGGGTCCTATTGAAAGCCCAGGTGGTATCTCCAAAAGCAAACCCCGCAACCCTTCCGGAACAATAAACCCGGAGCCGCTCCGAGCGAATCCGGAGGCTATTTGGGCAGAGACCCCAAAGCCTTCAGCCGTTGGAAAGAACAGAATCATGTTGAAAGGAATCTCCTTCATGTCAATTTGCAACGGGGATAAGGCCTGAAAAGGACAACCCGGTTGGGGAAAACACACACACACCCATAGGGTCTCCTCTAGAATATGTTCTGTTTGAAGCCAACTAAAGAACAGAGCCAGAACATGAATTTAGGAGTATCGCAGATGTGGGTGGGTTACCTCACCATGAGCTTTTTGTTGGGCTGATGTGTCAAGGGGACATGAAGGGAACTCGGGGCAGGCACCTCCCCCCGCAGGACTCTGCGGGCCGACCATCCTGGAAGGGCCAGCTGCGCGGCAAGCAGCCGGGGCCCTTGCCTCCTAACCCTGGCGCCATGATTTTACCATCACAGTCACCCCCGAAGTGGGGGGTGAAAGGAACAACTCCCCAGTTTCTGACTTTGATAACCCGTAGAAATAGTCAAAACAATGATTCCAGTAGACCCCTTTTCTCCCTTGGGTTTTGGCAAGACTGCCCCAGTCGGCAAAAGAGGGCTCACGCAAGCAGGGAGCAACTTTCTTCCGGCACTGAGCGTTGAGGGAGGCACAAGCCTGAGATCTGGCATTAGGAGGCACGGAGCTGGCGCGAGGATAGCTCGGAAAGGGCGACACGAAGCAAGGAGCTTCGTTGGGGAACAAGCTGTAGCAGACGCCCAGTCAGCAGGCACTCCACGCCACTTACAATTCGGCGCTTGCCCAATAAGAAACGCTGAGATGCAAACCTAAGCAGGAGTTTGCAAAGGAGCCATCTCCAGAAAGCTTTCTCTACGTAGTTTCTTACGACTAAACTAGTTTGTTAGCCTTCTTCTGGGCTGCTGTTAGGTCATGGTCAGAGCTTCGATGTGTTGCTCCTGCTTGTGGCAAGCGAGAAGCAACTCCCGACTGATTCTTTGCTGACCCTGGCCCTTTTTTGGCGGGCTGAGCTAGGAAAATGGGTGAGAACCCTGGCCAGTAACCACTTCCTGAGGACCCTACCCTTTCAAGTAGAGCGCTTGGTGGAGTGGATATAATTAAGAGCTGTTGGTGACACCGGAGTTGAAGGCAGAGCAGTGGCTTTGACCCTGGCGACACGGCCTTGAAACAGGAAGGTTGAATTCCAGAGCCCCTGGAATTGATAATTTATTACCTGTGTCCGTATCAAATGTTTTTGTGATTCCAATCAATTGTTCAGCAAACTTCTTTGGAATTGGAATGCGGTTTCCCAAAAAGTCAAACAACCTCGAGAAACCAAACAAGCAACAAAAGAAACAAGATTGCAGACTCAAGGGGGATCTGGTGGAGAGCACGGTGTGTGCTTCGCTTATCTTGTTTGTTTGCGCCAGGTTTTTGCGGCTTTCTGTTCCACACTACCAAAAAAACAAGAGCACTCTCAGGGCATCCTGTTTTCTCCCTGAATTCCTGGGATTGTACTTTGTGGGAAGACGTTCTGGTGGCAGATAAAAGCTTAGACTTTGTTGTCAATCCACTCAGCAGGTGAGTTCGTCATCAGAATCATCATCATCATCATCATCATCATCATCATCATCATCATCATCATCATCATCATCATCATCATCATCATCTTCATCATCATCATCATCATCATCATCATCATCATCATCATCATCATCATGAATCATCAATCATGAATCATCAATCATGAATCATGAATCATGATCATCATCATCATCATCATCATCATCATCATCATCATCATCATGACAACCATGACCACCATCACCACCATCACCACCACCATCACCACCACCATCACCACCACCATCACCACCACCATCACCAACCCCACCATCCCCATCATCCCCATCATCCCCATCATCCCCACCATCCCCAGCACCACCTTCATCACCATCCTCATCATAATATTCGTGTTCATGTTCATGGTTGGCTACACGACAGGTGATGTCGAAAGGTTTCGGGGTTCTTTTTGGGTGGGTGTCCCTTCAAATCAGACAGCCAAGGCGAAGGCCCTTTTCCACTTCCTAGCCATTGCAGGCTTACTGTAGAGTGTATTGGGAAATGATCCGCACCAAACCTTATGAGATTTGGGCGGCAACTTAAACCATCCCCTTGTGTCTCTGATCGTTCCATTCCAAATGGCAGTTTGTTGCTTGATGGGTTTGTCTCCAATTGGGTGTTGAAACATCCAAAATGATTGCCTCTTGGTGTTCCTGTAAAAAAAAAAAACAAGCTAATTACCCTCAAAGGAAAAAGGGGCCCACACGGGGAAACCACCCATTCGACATGTTCCCCACTTTTGAGATGAAACCCGACGCCAGTTTCGGGCAATCGTATATCGTATCGCGTTTCAAGTAGGGTGACTTGCCAGGCTGGGCCCTCGCAAGGAGAACGAGCCCTGGGGCCCGCCGGGAATCCCAAGATCTGGGAGATGGCAAACGGCCATCACCAAGGACGTCCTTCTGATACCAAAGTGGACCATCATCATGACTACTTTGACACTTGGGGGTTTCACTGAGTATTTGTCGAATTACTGGAGCTTTAAAATGGGGTGTTCCCTTTTGGCTTCCCTTTGAGACCACCCCAAAAGGGGTCCGCCATGTTGAGAACACCCAACAACCTGGTCTCAAAAATCAATTGAGCGGAGGCCAAAACCTCCCAAGACCAGTTTAGTAAGGGGGCGCCAATATCGGACGGTCCGCGTAAGGTTTTTCCTTTTTGCGCGTAAGCTTGCGTAAGCACGCGCGTAAGCATGTTGCAAAGAGTGCGCGCGTAAGCCCGCGCGTAAGCACGAAGCCTGCCATTGACCAAATCCTGACTAGGGCCACAGCGAGGTATCTCCAGAGGCGTTGGACCCACCACCGGGAAAAAAGTGATTTGGCTCGGGGAACTAAATCTTTTTTTGTGCTTGCTTCAAAAAACGCACGTGGAAAAACGACGCCGAACTAAATCGTTTTGCACTTTTTGCCCAAGGCCGGTCAGTCTAAAGTCTAAAGAAGCTTTCTTGTCAGCCACCCAGTTATCAACAACCTCTAGCTCAGTGGTTTTGCTTCCCGCGACCCTTGCTGGCGCATCAAGGCGTGGAGATTCAACTCTCCCACCCGCCGGGTTGTATTTGTCTCACCCAAGACCACAGCAAGGTATCTCCAAGGCTCAAAACAAACTGCGCGGCAATAGAGCCACCAACGGGGAAAACCGATTTAGTTCGGCAAGCTAATTCTTTTTTTGTGCTTGCTTCAAAAAGCGCACGTAGGGCCACAGCGAGGTTTCTCCAACGCTTAAACGAGCTGCACGGCAAGCAGAGAGGTGTTACACCCACCACCGGAGAAAAAGCAATTTAGTTCGGCGAGCTAAATCTTTTTCTGCTTGCTTCAAAAAGCGCACGTGGGGCCACGGCGAGGTATCTCCAACGCTTAAACGAGCTGCACGGCAAGCAGAGAGGTGTTAGAACCACCACCGGAGAAAAACATTTTAGTTCGGCGAACTATTTTTCTCTGCTTGCTTCAAAAAGCGCACGTGGGGCCACAGCGAGATATCTCCAACGCTTAAAAGAGCTGCACGGCGAGCAGAGAGGTGTTAGAGCCACCACCAGGAAGAATCGATTTTGGCTTGGCGAACTAAGCGTGCGCCAACCAGGGCAACCCTTATCACAGCTTGCATCTTTGTTTGACGCTGCCCAAGAGCCAACTGGCGTAAGGTCCGCGTAAGAGCTGCGTAAGCAACGCGTAAGGTTATCCCTCTTGTGTTGCGCTGCAGTCCGCAAGTCGCTGGGCTTGGTGGTGGCCCGATCTTGGAAGTCCAACCGAGGTTAGTGAAAACCGGGGTTAGTAAAAAAAACAACACGCCAGCCAGCCAATAGGCGCGCACAAGGTTTGGCCGAAAGACCCTCTTTAATCCAGCTTTGGCACTTACGACGCCGCCCTGATTAAAGACGACCGGTCCTGCCATGGCTATCAGGTTTTACAGGTGTTACATGTTTTTGTTGGGGTCTACTCCGGAAGAACAGTTGTTCCTTATTTCTGCGCATACCTCTTTTCGGATGTGTTTAAAAGGGCACCTAGACAGCCGCTTTTTGGGAGGTTGGCGTCGGTAGAAACCTCAAGTGCTCCTGCTTGATTTTTGACAGGGTCCTGGCCACCACAAACCATCATTTGGTTCAACACAGACCAAGCCCTTTGGTTCTCGAAGCTGGAACAATGATACATTTGATTGATCGTCGTGCCCTGTTTGGCTCCAAGAGCGGCCAAGCCAAGCAGGGGGCTCGGCAAAGGCTGCTTTGCATGCAGTTCTTGTGCAAGCCGTGACCTTGTCAATTGCGCATGTCGTGCTTGTAAGTTGCTTGATCGGCCAGACCTGGCTCATACGCATTGATGGGAACAGGCCAGAGTGGTGCCCAGAACCAACCGTAAACCACATTCTTGCAGAAATACGCAGGCAGACAACAAGTCATGTGCCTTGATAGTTGACAGCTTCAAAGGAGCCCAGGGTCAACCATGTGCAGACACTGTTTGTCGGGCACTCCGTAGCTCCATAAAATTTTGCGGGGGATCGAGGCGGCCTGTCGGAACCATTGCTTTCTGCCTTTGAGCAGCGGGCTGGGGAATGCACTTTCAGAACACAGACAGATGAGGTGCTTGCTTCAAAAAACGCACGTAGGGCCACAGCGAGGTATCTCCAACTCTTAAAAGAGCTGCACGGCAAGCAGAGAGGCGTTAGAGCCACCACCGGAAAAAACGATTTAGCTCGGCGAGCTGAATCTGTTTTTTGCGCTTGCTCAAAAGCTGACAACAAAGTCACAGCAAGTCACAGACGGCTGTTTTTGGGGGGCAATGCAGCTGCAAGAAGCAAAGCTAGAGGTGCGGAAAAGACCGGGGCGCTCTCAGCCAAAAAGCAAGTCATCAGCAGCCTTTGCGCGTAAGATGTGAGAATCCAAGTGCGCGGCGCGTAAGGATTTTCAAGTGCGGCGTAAGCGACGCGTAAGCTAAGCTGTTTGATACCGGCAAACACACGGAGGGCTTTGGCCTCCGCTCAATTTGGCAATTTGGGTGTGAATGTCAAAAAAGGACCTGCGGACATCAAATTTGGGGACTCATGTCCACCAACTACGTTAGAAAGTACACCACTGACCATTTTTATGGCGAGCTCTGAGTTTTGAAGTTAAAACGAGCGACAACCGCTGCATTGGGTCCCTGACTTAGGAATCAGTATTGACATTTGTCAACATAGGGGCGCCTGACCGTTGCCTGTTTTTTTAGCACTAACCAAACGGGAGTTCACCATTTTGGCAAAAAGGAACTTAGAAGAGAAACCGTCATTTGGGGGTGCCCCTAGGTTGACACTTACGGATTCGACTGTTTCTCAAAGTGCTGGACAAGACTTTTTGGGCATTTGAACTTCAGCCCACAGGAACCCCTGGCCTTTTTAAGGGACCGCAATTTGTGTCTTCTCAAGAAGGCCACTTGGGTTGCGTTTGAAGTGAAAGCCTGAAGTGGCAAAGTCGTTGAAAGCGTGCTCCAGGAATTCTGAATTTCAGCAAAGGGGCAGTTGACGTTTAAAACGAAACCTTGGGGTCTAAAGGGAAACCAAAACAAAAGCAGCCATAAATGATTTGTGGGCGGCAGTGCACGAACGTTTTAAATGAAGATATATGTGTGTTCTTGTTTGGTCGGTCAACTCGGCAGGATAGAAGGTTGAGGTCTAGCCTCATAAAATGCACAATCATTTTGCAGCATCCAACCCCATAGACCGATACCCGCAAACCTAATTGCCCACCTAATGTCCGGGCCCCTTTTGGAAGGGAAGCGTAGAGCATTCCCTGAGTTCCTACTTTTTGGAAGCACAGTAGGGGCAAACAACAAAATCGGACTTTGGGGGCCCAGGTTTGCTCTAGTTTCCGTTTCGAAGTGAAGTACACCTTTGGGTTCGGACGCGCTAAACTTGTCCTCGCTAGCAAACAGGGCACCCTTGCCGTGCCAGGATTGAGGATCCGCGAACGATGCCCATCGTGCCAGGCGGCAGGAGGCTTGGGATATCATATTTTGAACGGCAGGTTGATGGTTCAGGTTTCCTTTTTGAGGAACTGCTAAAAGATAGGTTTGTCTCGAAGTAGGGCGCCCAACATTCGAGTTTCCTCTTGGTCCCTGATACAAACTCAAGAAATATGTCCCATTTTGAGACACCCAAATTGGCAATTGAAAGCATTGTCTCGCCCACTAGGCCAAAGGAACTCGCAAAAGTTCTGCAGTTTCTGCAGCCCTCAACTACCATGTAAAAAGGGAATCACCTCATCAATTCCACCTTCCGGTCAATGGGTGTCGATCAGGGATCCTTTGGCGGACATCATTTACACTGGGGGTCTATGACCACCAACCATCGGCGGTGCCATGACTTCAAATTGATGGCCGTATTGGTTTTCCAACCGATGGGTACTGGTACCAGATGGCGTTTAAAGAGAAACAAAATATTCACAATTTACATGGAAACCTGACATATTCAGAGGTCCCCTTTTACATCCTTCTACCTTTGGAAAGCAATTTGCACCTACCATTGTATTGATTCCTATTGTGGGAGCCATGACCATGCCCAACGATACAACATGAGACAACGAAGCGGTCGATTGTGATCCCAGAGCTCTTCCGCCAGTGCACGCTAGAAAACCCGGAGCAGGACGCTTTGATGATCCTGGCCGCTGAGTCGTCGCTGGAGTCGATGCCGGGCTCCTTGCAGGTCTACGGTCTACCGCATTGCCCTCACCTTGTTTATCAGCGGCCTCACAGAGCATGGCGAATGCGGCACGCGGTATCTCCCGAACCGTGGCCCCGCTCGAGGAAATCGCCCAGCCCGTGAAGAAGCGCCGCGGCAGAAGTCAGCGATGAATGAGGGTCAGGGTCAGGCTTGGCATTAGCTGAAAGAGGCAGCGGGTGGCGTTTAGCAATTACTCTTTCGAACGCCTCTTCTGATGGAAGGGTTTCCTTTTGAACCTTACGAGTGTATGCCCGATGTCTCTCCAAAACAAGTCATTTTTCGGTAGTTTCTGGAGGCTTCCAGGACGCTGTTGGCTCTGGGGACCCCTAGGCCGTATGGCCATATCTAAAAGCGGCCGAGCCTTAAAAACTCAAAAGATGCAGCTAAACAAGCCCTTGGTAGCAGCCACTTCTGGCCCTGCTCACAGCGAGAGCTGGCCAAAGTTCAACTTCGCCACTTCAAAAGATTTCAAGCGTCCTCTTGTGTCGGGGAAATCATACAGTACCCCTCTTCGAATCTTTGCGGCGGATCTTGACTTGTGCCATTAATTCAAAGTGTCTAGGGGTTGGTGTTTTTCTGTGGGAAACATAGGGAGCCCTGTTTGCCTCCCCTTTCTGAGGGAATTCCTCCGTGCCGCCGGGCAGATTCATTGACGCGAGCAAAAAAGTGCCAGGAAGTTTGCAGAGGCACCTGTGACCAAGTCGGCGGCCTGGATTCGGATGGCGTTTTTCCGGAAGACAGGGACACACATGGTTGTTGTTGGGAACCATTTTACATGTTTGCTTATTATGGTTCAGTGGGAAATCCTCACTGAACTGCTAAACAAACCATGCTCCCCTTCCAACGTCAACCAAGACACCTGAGTTCCCGGACGATCCCCAGTTGGCAGTGCCCCTTTTAGGGGGCTCTCCCTGAGTTCCCGGATGGTTACTTTGCCTTGGACCGTTTGGTACAGAAAGTGTTTGAAGGTTTTCTGGTCCGTCCACTGAGCCAAATCGAAAAATCAGCCCGAAAGAATGGCTTTTGGAAAGTGGGGGGAAATCCGTGTGGATTGTGAAGGGAGGGGCGGTTTAAAAAGAAAGGCACAAGGGACAGGAGGACTTGTGGACGGGCGGCTCCAATTCTCGAGGTCACTTCTCACAGGGTTGATCAGGATATCAGGTAGTCGATGGTTCGTTTGGAGGGACGAGCCTCTATTGTCCCATGCCTTCTTCGGGGAAGCATGTTTGCTTTTGATCTACTGTCACCGTGGCATACCGGGGCTATGGTTAACTTGAGGGGGCTTAGAATTTGGGGTCTGAGAAGGCTTGAGCACCAGTTGGACCCTTCTTCTCCAGAAATATTACTGTATATAACTATATTATATGGGATTGTCTCAAAATAGCGGACCCCCCCCCCCCGCCAAATGGTGAATTCCTAGTAGTTTCTGTTTAACACCCCTGTTTTATGGTCGACTGTATCTCAGATGGCCAAGTGCACTCCATTTGGCAATGGACGGAGACATGAGTCACATTCGACAAATGCTTGGCTGTTTACCTTTTGCCCTCCTGGGACTTGTGTCGACATGTTGGATTTAGGTGGTTCCCTGCAAAAGGGGACTGAGCCATCTGAGCCCCAGAACTCAAATTCATGTTTGTTTCACTTTCACAGAGTCCCTGGAACTTTTGGCTTTGGCAGGCTGTGATTCTGTGGGTTCGGGACACACGGCACATGTACTCAACCTGCCCAAGAATACCAAGGCTGGATGGTTGCAACATGTTGCAACTTGGCGTGTGTCTTGAGTTTCAATGCCTGCCGGCAACAAACGTGGATCAGCTTCAGATCACTGATGTCTCAAGGGCAAACCATCAACAGTACCGCGGGGAAGCAAAACTATGACACGGTTTGGGGAGGTCGAAGGTTCGACCGGGCCCCGAGGTCCATTGTGGACAGCATCATTTTCGGCCACGACATCGACATGTCCGGGGGCGATCGGGAGAGGCCAGGCTTTGTCAAAAGCTGGGACCGGTACCGTCGCCAGGTTTGCTCCATGGCTGATCTGCGATCCTTAGCCGCCTTAGCCCCTCCCACCTTTCAGAGAAGTGGATTTTCCAAAGGTCAGATCTGTTGCTCTGTTCTTGGTGAAGGTTCCAAAAGATTTGCCTTTTTTGTTCGTTGTTTGGGGGAAGTGAGATTCAAGTAAGAAGCCCCCCAGACCCAGTAACCCCAAGGCCCAGTTTTGGGACCGGCCCCGGCCGGATATAGTTAAAACCAGCGCGTGGTTCAATAGGGGGTTTGCAGGGTGGAAACTGGCACAAGTCCCTGCGGGTAGAGCGATAACAATCCCAAATGGGGACAGCAGCAACAGAAGGACGAGGCTTCCCCAACCCTTTGACCTGGAATTGGGATGGCTGATTTCGCAGGTAAGCTGCTGGAATTGGTGGATTTGGTCAGCATAGAGATGAGCTGCCATTCAACCACACCTGCAACCACCTGTCAGCAATGGAGTCTGAGATAAGCTAGAACGCAGTTTGTCTCGAGGATTCTGATGTTGCCATCCACATAGGTCATCCGCTCGAGCTTGCTTGCTTTCTCGTCTCTAATTCGGATGGAGGAATAGCAGGTTTGCCCACATTCGTGACATATATATATATATATATGCATATAAACATCACCCACCCGGAGGCAATTTCCTTAAAATGGCCAAAACGTCAAAAGGGAAAACACGATCATGGTTGGCACAGGCAGTAGGACAAGGGTTGTCGCAAGGGCAGGAGTCGTAGGTACAGTAAGTACACCTGGAAAAGCCAGTGGTGATTTCTCCCCGCATGGCTCGCAGACCATCTGTGTATTTGTACAAGACACAGAACTGAAGCCGCTCGGCACCTCCTATCTCTTCACGTGTCAGGAACCAGAATACATTGTGCAACACGCTGTTTATCTATGGATCTGAGAGGTGTGGAGGTGTGTATGCCACTAAAGCAAGGTATGAGCTTGTACAGCACACCCATCAGATAGTTGGCCTTTGAAATCCATACCTAATATGTTCCTTCAGATTGTTTGTGGTTCATATCCCTTTCCGCAGGTTCGAAAGCATGCAGGCAATGCACGAAGGTTCGGCTGGCCCGGCAGCCCGGTTCGTTGGCGTCAGATCGCCGCGTTTCTGCATGAGACTCAGAAGCCCGGCGTGTCCCTGGCCCCTTGAAAATGGAAGTGGCAGCGGGTGAACCCGCTGGAGATCCTCATGTGTAGGATGTGCGGGTCCACAAAACCTGAGCTCGCGATTCGAGGGGGCCAGGTTTTTGTCGCGATGCTGCGCACCCATAGAGGTCCCGGTGTTTATCATAGTAAGCTATTCGTTGTAATTTGGAGAACAGTTTCAATGTCGGGCTGACATAAATTCCCGTTGTGCAAATGGTCCGATTTCAGTTTACCCAGACCATGGTACATGCCCGTTCGACTAAACACCGGGCTCCCGCATTCATTCAGGTTGGTGAGTTCTGGGAACTAGCAACATGGAATTTGACGGACTCCCAAAAAACTGGGAAAGTGTCTCAAGAGTTGGAGCCTAGGTGGTTGGTAGCTCGAGGTGGTTAGAGGAGTCCCCGAATTCTGATGTCCACCAAAGGGCCCCGAAATTTAAATTTCACATGTTAGTGTGGCAGACTAGTGCAGGTTTCGTGCAGGTTTCATGCAGGGGCCTGCGAGACGGTCGGTTGAAAAGCAGGGCGGCTATGGAGTGGGCATGAAGGTTTGCAGACAGTGTCACACCGCGTAATTTTTCTGGGGTAGCCATGGCCACCCATCCATGCAGCGAGGAAGCTCACCAATATATCATAGCGCGATTGCCTGGTGATTGGATGGATGCCTTGTCACAGCATCGAAGATGTTGAATCCAAAAAGGGAACTGATCCTGGCTCCTTCTGTTTGCTTCATCGGAGCAGGGCCGTGCTGACTTAACGATGTTTGTAGGTGTTGCCGACTTGAGATCAGTGGCACGAGCTGCTATGTGGTGCCATCTTGGCCGCAGGATCACCCATATGTGTTCAAAACTGCGTTAAGGGTAAACTTCATTGGGTCAAAGTATGCCCAAACGAGCCGGATGGCAATTTAGAATCTAGACAATCCCAAGGAAGACACCGAAGACTCAGCTTAACAAGCGCCATATCATTTAACTGAAGGCTAATGGGGCATGAAATATTTGCCCAGACACTTATACGCATCTGTTCCAGCAAGGAGTAGCGTCCACTCCTCGAGCTCGAGTTTGCTTCCCCTCTCAAGGTGTGTTCAAGCATCGAAAAAAGCAAGCTGTGCCTTGGTGGATGTGCTTGCTGGAGTGGCTTAAAAGTAGGTGTTAGTGCAAAGGAGCTGGCATTGTGAGAACAGTTTTCGGCATCTCCGGCAGCCGATGCCATGAGGTGCTCATTCCTTTGTACGGCCCCACGGTCCCAGGCACGACAATCGCCTTCTGCGGGAGTGTGTCCAAAAATGGGGGACGCCTTGTTGAAAGCTAAAGGGGTCACAGGAAAGAAGATCTTTACACTTGATTTGTGTTTGAGTCATTGGAGACGCGGGAAGCGGGCCCAAATGTTTCTTGGAAGCATTCCTATCAACTTTGAGCACAACAGTTTGCCGGAAATTGCACGTGCTGATTTGAAGCTTCAACCCCCTTGCAAGTCTTCAGTGATTTGGGCAATGCTACTTAGGTCCACGTGCCCAGGCAGAAATGATGATAAGGCCTTTTATTTGAATGTCGGATGGCCCCGCCCGCTGCAAATGAGCAGGAAAACGGATGACCATTTTACCACAAGCTATCGAGATCCAACGAGACATCTTAAAGGCGCTATGGTGTTGATCTCAGATGTGTGTGCAGTTGGCTCCTTTCACCCTAGCTGGTCGTTTTGCAAAGTATTCGCGGATGTGCCACCCAGAATAGACACATGATGTCACATGTGTAACTGCTTTAAGCAGCGGCTTTGTCCACATGAATGGCCCAACGAGGAAGTTGCTTCACTTCCAGAAATACCCGGTTTCTTGCTTCCTCCCGCGGGCAGCCGCTTTTTCGTTGAGCTTCCAGAAGTCATGTTGACCCTGAGCCCCCTACTGCCTTTGGCGGGGAGAGGGTTGGGGAAGGAAGCTATGAGGCGAACCTGGTAGACTCATGGGCTGTTTTAAGTGGGGAGTCGCAACCCGAGCCGGAGTTGCGCAGCCCGACCCATGTATCAGCCGTGGGCTCAACGAGCGCTGATCTTGTTTGGCAATTATCCGATCATCAAGGCACCCGCCTCGTCAAAGGTCGATTGGGCCACAACTAGTGATTCATGAACCAATCAACCAGTGGCTCAAGGGTTGATACATTGGATGGACAAAATCCTTCACCAGTTGGAATGGATGAACCCCTATGAAAACTGGGAGAAGCCGCAAATTCCAACATGTGCCTGGCGTGGATTTTGTTATTCCACAGAGGCCATGACAAAAGTACTCATAGGGTAGTTCATATAAAAGGTGCACAATTCGTTTGTTTGGTATGAGTTTTACCCGTTTGTTTATGTGGCGGCACGCTTGGAAATGGATCCACCATGAAACCGCTAGCCACACGCTAGCCGGGTTGGCGCAAAACTGTACAACATATGAGGTATGTGTCAAAATTGGGCTACCCCAAACACGGTGGCTTTCCTTTTGATTTGCTTTTTGGCCAACTTCAAAGGGTACCTTCAACAAAACACACCCATATCAGTCCATATTCCGCCTTTCGAAGTTTCTGGTCGGCCAGCTCACCGCGGACGGTGCAAGTGCGGCGACGTCACACCCGGCTGAGGCTTTGGGCTGGGACAATGGGCCGGTGGTTATACTTACCTGGTTTAGTTGGGGTTGTAGTAAAGCTTCTACAAACCATAATCGACATGTTAGTAGAACCCAATGTTGATGGGTGTGGGGCGCTGCTCATTTGAGTGTTCTTCCCTTGATGATGTTTAAACGGAGTAACAACCCTTGTCTAGCACGGAAGCTTTGAGTTGGGAGCTTGAAGTACACCTCGGCTGAGTTCCTGGACTGTCACTTTTTGGCAAGACCTTTCTAGTGGCAGAAAGTTCGGACTTGTTTTGCCAGCCCACTGAGGAAGTGAGCACCCATCCATTTGGGTGGGCTAATAGAGCATCTTTTGGTAGCAAATGCCCTAGACGGGTTCTAACAAAGGGTTTCGAGCTTGCACCAAAGAGCAATCCTGTTTGTAGCATCCTACAATCCATTTGCTAGAACCGGTGGAATAAGCCGAATTAGGGGAACACCCTCCCGCCAAAAAAAAATAAGCGTTGTGCCTTTGAGTTTGCCTGCAACCCAAGCTGAACTTTGCCAGGCAGAAGGCCAAGCAGCCCGGGCTCCCAGGTTTCCCGGGTGGGTTGCTCGCACGCCGAGTGTTCAGAAGCCTTCTGTCTCCAAAGGGTTCAAGGGTTTCTCTTTGGATTTCCTCCAAAGCAACCCTGAAGACATACTTGGGTCTCCTCCAAAGCAAGTTTATGTGGGGTGAACTGAAATATGAAATAGACTCGGAACATAGCTGTTCGGTGTATCAAAGATGTATATAGGCCAAGAAAATGACAAAGCCATGTGCTCATTTGAGCCTAAGACCATGTTTGATTGTGGATCGCCCTTCCGCGAGATATGCAGGAGCTTCTCAGCGCCCTGACCGAGTTTCAAGGAGCGTGTGAGACTGTGGTTTTTGAGGGTTGCCTTTGGCTGTGTTGGGGAAGGAAAGCAACCCAATTTGCGCGCTTGCTTCGTAATGTTACATCTACCAAGTCGCCGCTGGAGCCCCATCGCGAGCTTTAGGAGAGCTAAAACATTATGCTTGTGGATATGTTGGGGCTTTCTTGGTGCCCTTCGTGACCACGAGAATTCCCTTGAAGGTTATAAACTTGTCAGGGAGAAGGGCTTGCCATCACAGAACGGGGCAATCGAGTTTGTCATTGCAAGCAACAACTGGGTGCATGTGCTTGTGAAAAGGAAAGCCGATTGTCCCCTCTTAGTCATTTATCTCTGCAGAAAACGGCAAAGTTACCTGTGGCAATGGGTGGTGTCTGAGATTGGGGAATCAGCCCTTAGAAACAAGTTTGTGGAACACAGGGCTTTCGGGCCACCTTTTTTTTGGTGAAATCCCCTTCAGTAGTCACAGAAAGGGCAACCTTCTCTGACCATGACGATTCGAAATTGTCGCGGACCTGTTCAAGAGAAGTCTGGTTTGCGGTTGAACCACCCCGCAAAAGGTACCCTCAAAAGACACACCCATGAATTTTCCACATGGGCATTGCGTGTGAGGCTGACTGCGAGGCTGTACACGGCGCCGCAGGCGGAGAATTAGACAATGGCCAGTTCGGAGGAGAGGCAACTTGTTGGTAAATTGGCTTGTTTTTAAAAGAAGAACTTAGTTGCCCAAAGCCCACCGCTGACCTTTGATTTTTTGAGTTCCCTGTCCACGTTCAGTCAAGGTTTAAAGGTTAACCAATTCCTATTTCGGGGTCCTTTGGGCAACTGAGAAAACAAAGGGAAGATTCCAGAACACCACCCCAAAAGCGTACCCTGAAACAAAACACCGAGTTTTCCCGCTCACTCGGAGCCCGACAAAAAGCTACCAAGTCAGATGATAGCTGGGTCTCATTTGAAACAGCTGTCCTGGAAATTAAGATGGGTGTTGTTTTTGTTAAATAGTGGATATTCTGTGAATTATAGCAGCTTGCCCAAGGCCCTAGTAAACGGTTTGGATGTGGAGCTTGTGGATCTACAGGGGAAATACACTACAGGGAAAGGGGCCAACAAGGAGAACAGGGGCAATCCACAAGCGAATCCAACCCGTTGTTTGGAGCCCAGAAATGTCTACGAAGGTACCACCAACCTGAAATGGGGAGAATAGCTCGCCCGGACCATGCGGACTTCAGCGCAGTTTCTCGGTTGTCCTGCCCCACCTCCCCACCCCCCCCCCCCCCGGAAAAAAGCAAAACTCAATGAAAGCAAATTAGCTGCCAAGCCTCAACCAACAGAATCACAACCATGTTGGACCCTTTTCCACCATGTCCTTTTGGCTTTCCACTAGGAAAAAGACAATGTCCCGCCGTTTCTCACTTCCCAAAGGTGCACAAAAAGACTTCCACTCAGGGAGCTCAGGGAGTGAGACGTGCGTCATCTTCGGCCCCGAAGGAACTCAATATAAACCTGGGATCGTCACTTGCTGTTCAGCTGCCCCGAAGGCACTGGCGAATGTGAACCTGGGATTCCGGATACGAATCCCAGCCCCCGTCCCGGCGCCCCGCGCTCCGAAGCCAGGCCGTCGAGAAGCCGAAGGCTCCCTTGGCGACGCCTCGGCATCCTGCGCGCGCCTGCGCATTGCACGGGGAGCCCAGTGAAACGCGCGTTGGGCCTGGAGGACGCATCTATATATGAGCCACGGACAAAACACACGAAGACCACTTTATCAAGGCGGGGAACGTTTTTGCATAACACATGCCAAAACCATGGAAAACGATAAGGTCTCCCCCAAAAACGATAACCCTTAGCTAACACACGGCTCTATAATAACCCCTGCAGTTGCAACTTAGCTACGGTGGGACCCTTGCGTGGCCACCGTAAAACGAGAAGGCGAGTCGCCACTTTCGAGCTGGAGCTGCCAAGGTGTGCTTCCTAAATACGACACTTGTACTGAGAAGTTGCGATTTTCGAGCTTGAGCTGCGGAAGTGTACTTCGCGTACTAGACTTGCACTACAAAGTTGCGATTTTCGAGCTGGAGATGCGGAAGTGTACTTCTCGTACTAGACTTGTACTACAAAGTTGCGATTTTCGAGCTGGAGATGCGGAAGTGTACTTCGCTTACTAGACTGGTACTACAAAGTTGCGACTTTCGAGCTGGAGATGCGGAAGTGTACTTCGCGTACTAGACTTGCACTACAAAGTTGCGATTTTCGAGCTGGAGATGCGGAAGTGTACTTCGCTTACTAGACTGGTACTACAAAGTTGCGACTTTCGAGCTGGAGATGCGGAAGTGTACTTCGCGTACTAGACTTGTATTACAAAGTTGCGATTTTCGAGCTGGAGCTGCGGAAGTGTACTTCGCGTACTAGACTTGTACT